TGGCCGCCTAAATCAAGGGATGAGCCACGTATTAAGGTTTTTGAAAATAAAGTATTGTGCATAATATTCGGACCGAAGAAGGATGAGTTAACCAGATATTTCAGACGGTTACACAACGCCGGATTGCGTGAACTGTATCTGATTAATAAAATTGAGGTGATTACATCTCGGCGAATTAAATGGGCTTGTAAAATTATTGGACTTAGTAACGAAAGAATTCCTAAAAGCTTAATATTTGCTGTGTCAACTGTGGCCCATGGGCCAAAAAGTTTGGAGGCATCTGTTCTAGAACAAGAACGAAAAGTAGTACGATACTGAATCACGTATTTAAGATTTTTATATGCTTGAGATATTACAGCAACTTTTTCTTCAAAACTAACTATTCGAAAGAACCTCTTTATATCATAGATTTACATTTTTCTCGAAAAAGGCTCAATTATATTGACATCAATCAAACTGACTGATATCCATTTATTATTAATGAACCTCTTTCAATATTATTGAAGGAGCGTCAATATTATTTTACCTGTAAACGCTATGATGAGCAATATTAAATCATACATATGGACCTAAAACATGAGGGCCCATTACAATCCGATTCTGGAAAGGGATGTTGTGATAATATCGTTATCGTATTGATGCCAAGGAGTATATTCGATATTACTGTATTATTAAAATAAAAATGCCGATATCGGATTTCAATATATATATATATATTTTGCGATAACATTATAAATATAAATCAATATTATATAAAGATAATGATAATGGAATATGGAATAAATATTGCCAACCCACAGTTTATTGGTGGATTTCAGTAATGCTTATGACAGTGCCAACCAATCAAGTCTACATGAAGCCCTGAAAGCTTGTCACCTCATCTAACATGTCCCTCGAAATCAGCCGGAGGATCACGGCAGCCCACTAGTGCTATTTTGGGCTCAAGTGAAATAATGAAGAGCAGCCCGCTCAATAGAGGAACAAAGGCACTGCTGTAAAGACCCTGATAAGGTCAATTGTTACCTACGCATTCCAAGCCTGGACGATAGCCTTAGTTAGAACTACAGCAGACGAGAAGGGGTGCTAATATTTGAAAGAAAAATATTAAGAAGAATAAACGGCCCTGTAAGATAAGGAAAGGTATGGAAAAGGAAGAACTATGAAATCTAGAGCTTATATGGAGACATCGAAGTGGCACAGTTCATCAAGCTGGGTAGGCTCCGCTTGACAGGACATGTGATGCGTATGGCTGAGGAGAGGACACCTAGAAGTTATGGAGGAGGTATTTGACGAAAATCACACTAATGGAACAAAATAAACGATGGAATAACTCACAGCTCACACGAAAAATAAACAATGGAATAACTGATCTTACACGAGACAAGAAGGGAAATTATGTGATGCAACATTAGATAACAAGGGAAGTTTCCTCCCGACCAGCTATTTAAGGAGTACCTTAATTATTACTGGTAATCATCTTTTAGTGTTCCTTTACTCTTCTTGGTTTTTATTTAATATCTTCGGAATCCTGATAAAAGAACTACTAACTTATTTTTATAAATCTCAGTAGGTAATTGCGTAGCACTTCAAATGTCTAGCTATGATTTTTATATAATTTGAATCTTTTGGATTCCATAATATAGGATATGTTTGGTATAGTTCAATAAGCAGAAGACATTTTTTCTACATCCAGTCTGTTGAAATTTATCGAAATGTAATGATTCCATCAAGTTATTGAATTGTTACAACTCTGTTGTAAATCCGGTTATCTCATCTTCTCATGGTAGTTCTATAATGAAATTATAGTACTAGCTTTGAGAAATTCCCTCGCTCCCAATATATCTAACATAGTCCTCAATGATTTCCTAAATATCATAATTCTCCGGTTTTCAAATTTCTTAACTTAAAATGCCCTTGGGCAATAAAAGGAAAGTTGAAAATTTATGTATATATACATTTATATACATACTGAATTTATTCAAGAAATTCCTGGGGGGTAGGAAAAAAAAAAAAAAAAAAAATCCGGTTTTCAAATGATATATTTTTTATCAAAAAATGTGTTGATGATCTTATTCTCAACCCTAATAAAATTCCAAATATCCTTTCCGCATTTAACTCCTACTATCCCTGACTCCTTTTTACAATTGAATATGAAGATAAGGATTCCTTCTCTTTCATTGAGCTCCTCATTAAAATAAACACCATCAATGCTTTATCCAGAGATTAGTACACAAATCCGACATACTCTGGCTGATTACTAAAATATTATTCCCAACACCCCTAGCACCAAAAAATTAAAGTGGCTAAAAATGTTATACACTGATTTTTTTCCTTTGTCCGATCCTTCAAAGGAACACAAGACGCGTCCAACAGATACTACTTTCTTATAACTTCCCCTCAAAATACTAATTACGACTCTCATTCACCACTCTCCTTAGGAGTTCTCAAAATCTGCCATTAATCCATTTATAGCTTTTTTTTCAGTGAAATTCATAATTTTTTAAAAAATTTCATAATTTCTTCAACCAATTCCATATACTTAATTTAATGAGGTGTCATTATCAATAACTCACGTAGAGTTCGAAGGAAATTAGAGAATTCCTTTATATTTTATAATTGGGCAGGCTCAGCTGGGAAGGACATGTGACCTGCATGCCTTAAGAGAGGACACTTAGAAAAGTATTGGAGTTAGAGGCCTACTGACTTTGACAACACCTTCTTACTTGCCACAGTCCCCAACTGTGACAAGACAATATTCATGGAGAGAATTTTGGAATTTTCTCTGTTTATTTATTTATGTTTCTATGCAGAACATCACAATCTTAGTTATTCGCTGGTCTTATTAGTGCCTTAGTTGTCAAACATGAGTAGAGATAGTTCACCTTCGCAAGAACTTGTGAGCCATCTTTTCAACAATTTTGGTTTATTATTTTCAATAATCAGCCATTGTGATCTACCAAAAAATTCGAAAACTTGACCCTCTCCCAAAATTTGAGGTTCCACGTTACAGGATGCGTAAATTCGAAAAACAAATACAAATTTTTTTGTTGGTCAGCCGTCCGCGTATTTTCTCCAAAACTACTGGACCGATTTTTTTTCAAATTAGGATATGAAATCAGGAAATGGTCACCCGAGGATGATCCTCCTTCATCGAAATTACTATCCACCTTTTACTTTCAAAATGGCGACCGAAAAACCTACGTTGCTATAGACTGTAGCTCCTAAACGAATGTACCGATTTTAATGAAACTTCACCAAAGTCATTTTCCCGACGCCCTTTAAATTTTTCTATATAACATATTTCAACGAAAAGAAGCTGGGAAAAAAGTTACGAGGGATGGTGGTGAAGGAACTCACTGCATTATCTAGGTCTTGAGGGGTTTTTAGGGGTACTCTGAGGTCTATTGTAACTAGGAAGGTAGGAAAATACTTTAGAGGTATAATTGTTTGGAAATAATAAACCATTGTGAAATAATTTTCAGCGTTTCATTATTCTGCTCTCATTAAACATAGGAGCCTTAGAAGCAAAAAACTGATTGAGATTCGTTTTCACATTTCTCTCAGCAGTGAAGGATTACCCATTAAGGGAATTTTGGAGGGACCAGAATAAGCCAATGGTGCAAGGTCCAGAGAATACTGTAGGCGTAATAAATCATCCCAACCAAGTTGCACTAATTTTAGCTGTGTGATTCTTGCTGAGTGTGGTTGTCATGGAATACAACACCTTTATGATTGACCAGTTCTGGGCATTTCTATTGCTATGCTTGGTCCAATTTCGTTAGCTGCATACAGTAGATCTTTGAATACATAATTTTTCCTTGTGGAAGCAACTCATATAACGCTACGTTTTTCATTGTCGTAGATGATCCACTTTTCATCACCTGACACTAATCTTTTGAGAAATAGGTTCCTTTCATCGCGGCTTAGATATAATCTCTGAAACACAACTTTGCAAACCATTTCTGAGCAATACAGTCTGTTAATGCATCATCCCAGTATAACATACATATATTTGGTTGGGCCTCCGAAGCTCGCTAGCTTGTCTATTTAGAAATAAATAAGTAAAAAATGCACATTATCATTTGACATATTACTACGCTGTAGCACAAGCAAAACTAATGCCAATGAAACCAACAAAAAAGTTTTGAAGAGAGGACTTTGACTTTTCTGATAAGTATCACTATTGTCAAATAAGACAAAGAACTGGAGATATTTGAAAACAATTCACTCTACTAATAAATATCGAACTAACTTAAGGATTCGCCCAATACTTCAAATGTCCTAACATTCCATTACCACTATCAAATAAAACTAAATGTCAATTGTCATTTATATATACTGTAACATTCTGCATTATCACAACTTAATTTACATTCTAATATTACAAGGTAAATTCAGTTTTTTATTTTTCATCAGATTGATAAATTCCTTACACAGATAATATATAGTCATACATAATACATTGTATTTCTAACTATGCTGTAATTTTATCACATAACTTAAGTTATCTTACGAGTTCCACAATTAACTACCCTAGGTAGATGTACTATTTTAATATCAACAGACATTTTATTCATCATTTATTGTACCTTGTACCAATTAACATTAATCGTTTGTATCTTTTTTAGCCCTGAAGAAAATCTACAACGTAAGTCGGAATGTTCATGAATATAATAAATATTAAGTATTATATACTGATCTAACGTCTGACCAACTTCTTCTCAAAGGTTAATCTTTATTTTTTATCACTTAGATATGAATTATGGATTTAAATGTAGCAGATGTTCATAAAAACAAAAATAAATTAAAATTAAAAATCCGGAATTTTTTCCTAAAGGAATATAGAAGATTTCCAAGGAAAAAACAGAAAAATGAAAATGTTTGTACTGTGGCATTATTAAAAAAAAAAATGATATATTGTTGGTTGCAACATTACTCCTACGTTATCTTTAAGCCTTATCCTCAAGTCTTTACTATACTAACATATCAAAATAATTTTAGTGAATATAGGCAGTAATAATGATCATAAAAACAAGATTAATATTTTAAAAATATATTATATAAAATAATGATCACATAAATTCAATAATACTTATAACTTAAATATTCATAATAGATAATAAGTCTTTAACTAATCACAAAATTTATATATACAACTATGTAGAAGACACTTAAAGTAATCTTTTTTTCAATTTTTTATGTCCCTTCCTCATTCAATCAATCACAAGTAAATATTTGCCAATATTTTTAACTTGAGATGGTTCAGAAATACGATTCATAGCATTTACGTAGCTTGGGACAAATATAAAACCATTAATAATTATATCAGTGCAGTTGACAAGCCCTTACGGCCATTAACTGAAGGAGTATGAAGATAGGAGAGAGAACTTCAGAATATTCCAATGATGTTTCACCACTTAATTTTTTGCAAAGAAGTAGTTCAAAAGAAAATATAGCTGTTAAAAAGCAGAAAGACCATAATGCTCGAAAAAAAGCTACCTGAAACAATAGAAAAATTATTCTTTTAGCAACACACAAATAATTTGTTGACTAAAAATGAGTTAAAAAAAAAAAAAATGATTTCAATGTGTGCTTTTAACAGATTTTAGTACTATAATAGAAAAAAAATAATGAATGAATACAGTGCCACTAAACTAATGTAGTGCGTGATTTTTAATACTTAAACACAGAAATTACAATTAATTACATAGATTAAACAGAAATTACACACTAGAATCACACACTATAATAGATTACACAGAAATTACATTTCATGCATGGATCATTTGCAGGTCAGGAGACTCGCCTGGGGCATTTGATGCCTCTAAAGTAGGTATATCGCCTCCGATGGATTGGAGGAATAAATTATTTTGAGGCAGTACTGAACCAACAGTACTAAAATTACTGAAAGCAAACCAAGATTCTTCACTGTTTTAGTTGTGTTCATTATACTTTAATGTATTATTATTCTAATATAAGAAATATTAATGCATCAAGGTTAGTTACTAATGGATTATATGCACATATCTTATAACAATATGATGAAACTATTTGAATTGTATTATTACAATAAAGCACATTTCTATAAAAGGAGGATATTGAAACTAAACCAAATCCCGCTATGTAAGAAAATGGCTAGAATGGTTTTAATCAGGACAGCTGAAAAAGCTAGTCTATTAAGCACAACGCATTCAATATAATAGCTCATAACTAAATAATAATAATCTAATGAAGAAAAGAAAACAGAGGAGGAGGAATTAAGAAAAAAGTAAAATATTAAGAATACCTTATATAATGCTTCAAGATACATCCTGATCAACACTATAACACAGAAATAGGCATTCAATGCGTCAGCGACAAAAAGAGGGGCAAACACTATCCACCAACCACTTTCTGACTGATCAGTTATTCCTTCACATCTGCAAAATAAAATAATACATTTCAATGCTCTTATACTACCACATATAGTAATTTTATGAAGCCTTAAATTAGAGTATTAAATAATAAGTTAATTAAAAATATTTTTTACTTTAATTGAGTACTTAGTGTTAATCATTAGTAACAAGAAGAGTTGTTAAGAGTCACGGCTGAGCCCCCATAATGGCAGCATTGAGGGGACTCGAGCCCCATCAACTCCTAGTAGTCGCCACCTATGGAATTCTTAACATTACAATTTTTATTCGATGTCACTAAAACCTGCCAATGGATTTTAGTGTTCCCAGATCTCAAAATGTTCATCTAGAATCTGAATGTAAAATAGATGTAATACGTAATACCATTATATAATATGAACATGGATCTCAACACAATTAAATCCATCCCTTATCTCTAAATCCCTTACTGGAAGAAAACTAGTAAAAAGAAAATTATTAACATATCGATGACTAAATATTCCAAATAGTACCCACTAGAAATCTGAAACTATTTTTTTTAATTACTAGAAAGGTACTAGGTATTCCCAGAGACTGTAAAGCCTCCAATTGCTTACTCCTATGTATATTATCATACGCCTGCCATAAGCCAATGAATAGATGGTTTATTGAAGTTTTCTCCAGCATTTGTCTGACAGAAAATTGTTGGTCAGTAACCGATCGTTCTCGACGAAAGCCACTCTGCTACTCTTCTCTAGCTTTTCACTTCTCTCCGTCAGCCTTGCCACATATTACCACTGAGAGAATTTTGTAGACGGTAGGTAGGAATGCTATCCCCCTGTAGTTTTCACATTCAAGTTTATTTCCCTATTTATGTATAGGAACTATAAAACCCTCCCATTCATCTGAATTTTTTTCTTTTTTCCATACCTCACATATCACATTGTAAATAAATAAGATTAACGCTATATAAAGCCTGGGAAGTGCAAACAAAAGCCAATATTAAGTCAGGAGTGTTCATTTTGTACCTGCTAAGCTCTTTATTTTAGTACTTCTTTCGTTATCTTTTAACTGGTGCCGAAACCCAGGATTGTCAACCTATGCAACCTCAGGACCAGGCACCAACCCTTCAGAGGTAATTATTACCAGCAACCCTGCCCCTTATTACCAACTGCTACTGCCATTTATTTGAAGAATAGTGTGACAGAGTTGGAACGTTTTGATGGAGAACTGTGGCATCTCAATCACTTTCTCAAACAATGTGACCAAATACACTCCTTGATCGAAGCCAAAATGTCAGCAGGATAAGTAGACCCGCTGAATGCTATAGATGTTGGCTTTAGGTGAAAATGACTTTTATTTACGTTTCACAAGCTTTATGTAGTCTTATCTAATTTATTTACAAACTTAACCCTACTTGATAGGTTAATTTATCAGACCCTGGAGACTTATTGTTTTTTTAGAGAAAGAATTATTTTCTGGTGGTACATCCTCATTATTCAATTGATATACTTGGGTGGCGTGCATATTACTTGTATATAAATTCAAGATTTATTTTAAGTATTGGGTCCATCTTCTCTTGATTAAGTCACTATCAGTGGGAAGGTTGCAGTTTTGATTAAGACAGAATTCGTTCTGAATGCTAACTATTTCGCTGGCGCTACCCACGACACCAACCGCTTGCGGTTGACCACTGCTTTAATAGGATAGAAAGGAACCTATTTTGTTGGCGCTGCTTGGCAGTCTAGGTGTGACGTCATATCTAAGCTGCTCCTATCTGACCGCTCCTGAAGCAGTGGAGCTTTTGGCGGTTCAGCAGTTATAGATTATGTTATCATATCAGAACATTGTTTTGATGATAACAGTCACATTGATACGTTTTATTTCTTATGTTTCTTTCAAGTCTGGCAAAATTATAAGTAATATTGCTTAAAACTTAAACAAGGCAATAGTAAATTACTTTTTTAAGGTTGAAGTAACAAGATTATTTATTTATTTGTTCCACCAACAGTATTTTACAGCGGAATTCAATGATATATATATATAAGAAGAACTAAGAACTATAAAATATATTAAAAAATAAAAATAATACTGACCTTAATGTGAGAAGAACCATAAATATTGATATTGAAAAAAGATTAATCCACAGTTCGAAAACAGTTAAACCAAGCCATTGTACAAGTTCTTCCAAAGAGAAAAACATCATTCATTAATCTTATAGACTCTTATTTTTACACAAGAATTACATCGAGTTTGACTTCTAGATTCATGGGTATTGGAGATTGATTCCAAGTCATCTGTCAACAAAATAAAAAATGTATGCATAACATAAATATATAAAAAAAGTTGGTATTAGTTCCGAAGCACTACCCTTTCAGCCATCTTGGTTGATGGCAGGTCATCCACAAAGTTTCTGATAAGGTTTACAACATATTACAAGACTACCCCTCCCCAATAGTGGCAATGCCTTGTGCTATCTGTTGTAAACTTTATCTGAAATGTTTCTAGATTTTATGCAAGTATTTGACAATATCTGGCACTACAATCTTGTATTTAAGCTCATGACTATACTACCACATACAATAAGGATTATAACACTTTCTTAATACTACCTTCTAATAATAAGGATTATCAATACTTTCTACTAGAGCTCAGAACAATCTTCAATGAGACCAATTCAAACTGGTGTTCCTTAGGGATAAATACTAGCTACTGTACACATATGGCATTCAACTCAGCTTGGTTTAAAATTTATTTTATTGGGTTTCATAAATGCATTTTAATGGCATAAGGTAGAGAGAGGTTCATGAAGAGAGAGGTTTAAAAGTATCATGTTTGGCAAATGTATACGTCATGCTACAGTAATCTGAAGCCACGCACCCAGCTTCAGAAAGATTTAAAGCAGTATACTCCTCTTCAAACATTACCTCAAAATGGAAGTATTGGAAGAAAACATTCAACACCTTAATCGTATAAAATGAAGGAAAAGATGAGAAATAACAACGTACATATAATACTAATCAGATGAATCTATAGAATGATTCTATCTAGTCTCATGTGTTCATTGAAGTGAATGCGATTTTCAAGATATCAAAGACATATTGCCCCATTGTATTAGTAGGGAAAAAAAATGGGACCAGGGAACGATGGACCCATATATGAGTTGAAACGGGTTGGAGAAAAATGCCAAGATGATTGTGGACTGATATATGGGAAGCTGGCACTTTCTCGTTAAACAAAGGAGTGCTCAGTGATCAATTCTGCTTTCAAACTATCTCTAGCTCTTCCATGAGGCAGTAAATAATTTTTAAGAGGTGGGGTGGCTCCTTGCTTTTATATTGTATCAAAACCTCTCATTGTTACATGTCTCTAATATATATTCTTCATAATATTGAATTGAATATATTTATTCATGGAAGATAAATACGTAACCACACTGATAATAGACAACATAAAAATCTACTTAGTAACCTACTTACCAACCAAATGGATTGTACTTGTATGAACATCCAAACTGTAAGAACCAGAATATTTGTCTTCCAGCTGTAAAGCAAGATTTATTGCCCTGGGCACGGCAGCACCTGAACCACATAATACAATTTCAGATTCTCCTTTATCCAAGGCTTTAATACACTGTGCAAGCTGTCCCTGGGAATATAAAATCATAATATCAAGAAATCCAGAAAATAAGCAGTAATAGCAAAATATTAATTAAGAATTGACAGCTAATTCAAAATTAAAATACCTTGAAATTTGAATTATTAGTTATATAAAAATCATTAGGGCCTCTAATGTCCCTAGGAGGAATTCTTTTTCTTAAAATGTGATCAGAATCAGATTTATAATGTTGCCTTTTGTAATAATGTTTTGTATTTGTAGACTGAGGAACTTTAGAAGTATCTTCCTCCATGAGAAAAATTAAGAAAAAACAACATGAACATGTATGCACCAAACAATTGTTCAGATATTAAATGAAAAGTAAAAATAAAATATACTGTAAATAAACTGAGTATAACTCTAACAATTTATAAATTAACACCAAAGAGTTTAATAACAATAGGAGAATTCTTCATCTGATAATGTTGAAACCAACAATACTCAAAGTACAAATATGAATGAATCGTAAATCATGAACGAAAATTTAATTTGATTGATAACTGCTACAAAAGGCTGTGGGAGCTATCGAGATTAAAATCGATTTAAATTTTTCTTTACTAAAACATTCATAAAATCATCAAATCTTGCTCTTTTAAAAATAAAAAAAATATTAAATAGCTATTTGAAAATAACTTCATCATGTTTTGTTTTTAATAATGTTTATTAAATAAATCCGATAAGTGTTAGCAGAAGCGCATGCGCATTGTGAACTGACGCTACCGCTAACTGAAGACTTGTAAAACAACAAGGACCGGGTCGTGTAGCTCTCCGTGATATTTCACCTTTCAAGTGTAGAACTTTGTTCAAGCGTCTATCAACATGTCGGAAAACAGCGGAGAAGTGAAGACGGAGAATTCGGTTGATAATGTTAACAAGGTAAACATTTTTAATGACAATATTTCGGTAATATCAATAACTTCGTTCTTAGATTGCCCCCACTCCATACAATGACCATGTTTCTGCCGTTTATTTGCCACTGAAATTAATCCTTTGTGTTTTAAATAATGTCTATATTATTTTCCTAAATTTATCAGAAGTTGTTGCTAAAATTTAATTAACTACTTTTCGTTTGTGTCTTCCACTGCTTATTTATGTAAATATCCCAAGCTGTAGACGCCATGTTGACCCTAGGTTTAAGCTTTTCCCTCCAATACTTCGAAATCAATTTCAAACTTACTTTTAAGAATATTCTGTCGGAATCACGCTCATGCTTTTATATTTAGTAGAGTACTTTTTGTGTGTAATATTTAATTATGATGGTTAATTTATTTTGTATTGTTGATTTTACGGATTTGAAAACAAGCGTGATGCCGTTAGACAAGCATAGGACGCTTAATTTTGTAACTGTCTAGTGAAATATTCAGTTAGTTTAAATTTTACCATTTTATTTTTAATTTTTTATGTTATGAAAACTTATGTAATTTCTCATTCTTAACTATTCAGTTTAGTAAACAGTTTTTATTTTTATTTTATAGGACAGTAATGAAGAAACCCCAGCTAAAAGAGGTAGAAAAGCAGGCAAAAGGGGATCCAGTTTAGCTAGAACTATTCAGGAAGGAGAAGCTACTTTAAAGGTGCTTTGAAATTTTATTTTACTGAAATTACTTGATACTTTTCCATATTAAAATATAAATATATTAGCTATACACTATTATAGGTTGCTTAGTATGGTTCTGTTTCTTTATATTTTAGGGATTTAATAAGGATGAAAACGCAACTGAAGGTCGGCGGACTACGAGGTCATCTATGCGTGGATCCCTTCCTACTCCCCCACCTGTAAAAAGAGAAAAGAAAACACCAGCCAAAGGTATAACTTAGTTAAAACATCCCTTTAGCAGTTTAGTAAATTTTAACCATTAATACAGATTTATTTAATTGGTTTAGGCAAATTTCACCTTTGCTGTCTCTGTTTCTGTTTTGATAATAATATAGAAATGTGTTGACCAGTTCATTTTAATCATCATCTTAATAATGTTAGTAACATGTTGGCTTTTAATCCTTATGATGAAATTTAGGCCGAGGATTTGAATGATCCCTAGTTTTAGGTTGAGCATGTTGATCAGAACTCTGAAGCGATATGATTAACTTACTGAAGGATTATAATTTCTTATTTTACAATTATTTGATTTTGTTATTTTTAATCTATTCATTAATTTTGTATACTTCATTACTAGGTCGTGGAAGAGGTCGAGGGAAAAAGGAGGAAGATGAAGAAGTTAAAGACGAGGAAGAGGAGAAACCTGAGAGCAGAGGAGCTAATGGAGAAGGAGAACCCACTAAGGAACCAGAGAAATCTGAAAGTCAGCTGCCAAAGGTGAGGTTTATTTCATATTTACAAGCTAACCCACATACTGATAATTCAGTTATTTTCAATTAAATTATAATATTTGCCGTTTATATGTTTAACGATCTCAATAAATTTAAAATAGTCTTATAATATCTGTGTTACGGTTGTTTCTTCAGGAAGAAGATGAAGTAGAAGATGCCAAGGCCAGTAATGAAGAAGGAGCTGGTGATGACGGTTCTGCAACATCTGCTGCAGCTGAACCTGTGAATTCTGAGAGCAAGCCTGAAGAAAATTCGACAGATCAGGCCTCAACTGAGCAGGAATCTCCTGCTGATGCACAGTAAACTTTGATCACCTTGTGAGTAAAACATGGGGTCTGTTGAATCCTTAGTGCATTTGTACGCAAATCTTTCAAGTTATATCCTATAACATACTACATTGTTATTTTCTTTTTGTTGATGTTTTTAACTTATGTTTTTAGAATAACTTGGTGTGTGAACCGAAAAGAAAGCCATAGTAACGCATGCAAATATATAAAAACAGAAGACAATTTTATGATAGACGGACAACTTGTGAGCAAGCTCTTGGGTTGGCTGATTGATACCAATCTGCATATTTTATCTTTTTTGTGTTAATTTAATTATAAATATATATTATTTATAATATATTCATTGTAGTTTTTACAAGGACAATTTTTTTTTAATAGCATTTTGTGCAATTCACAGTAATGGTAGTTATATATCTATATATACACATTAGTGTATGTATGTATTAAAAGTTGTTCTTTACGCTGTTGTTAAATAACAACATTAAGATTTTTTTATTTAATTTTTTTTTGGACTATATAAATATATATATATATTTGTAGAAAGATTAGTTAATATATATGGTTACGTTAAGGTAATCAATTTTTTTGGTACAAACATTATTAGTTAATCGGAAATTGCCTAAGGCATTAATTTTTGTACAAAAAATGATATATTTATAAACTCACGACGGAATTTGACGCACTTGACTTTAAAGACGTATAAGGGGGATAAAAAAAAAAAATAAAAAAAAAGAACCTGCTCTTGTAAATAAACTGTTCCTTTTAGCGCATTTTCTCCATAAAGTTATAAATATATATATATTTATATTATTACGAATATTATTTTAATGTTTGATGTATAACCAACCCATATTTGTTTTGGAAAACAACAAAAAAAAAAAATTGTCCGTATTTATTTAATATTTGTATATACATATCTTCTGTTTTCATTTAAAAGGCAACTAATGCACCTACCTAAAATTATTGTTTTAATCTTAAACATTTTACATCTCCTAATTTAGGTTGTGAACCTCCCCAATCATATTCCTGATTAGTTTGTAAAATTAACCTGAATCATTGCTTTATTATAAATAGTTATGGTCAGATTGGCGGTCAGATAACTTTTTATTTTAATGTAATTTTTTTTAATGAAATGATTATTTCTCCTTTAATTAATTTAAGTCATTAAGTAATTAAATTAGGTTTTATAAATAATGTTTTTCTTGATATGTATCAAGGGAACCATAATTAGTGTGTAAATAGGTAGTCATCTTTATTGGAGAAATTAATAATAAAAATGATTAAAAATTTTACAAGATGATCATTTTTAAAACTTTATACAAAGGCTACATCGTTTTGGATGTCATCACTTTTCTTTTCTTTTTTAATTTTGTTTTAATGTAAGTAATTTATATCATGAACTTAGGTTAATTCAAAAAAGCTTGTTTTTTACAGTCCTAATATATATATTTATATATTTAAAATCAAGAAACAAAATCCAATAAATAGCTGTATACATAAATAAAATATATATATTAAGTTTCATAATGTTAACAAGACTTTGTCATTTGTGGTTTTCATTATATTGTAGCAAAACTGTTCAAATTTGAAAAAATGAATAAAATGTTCTTAGTAATGGTTGTTGTTCATTTGTTTTATTTCAATGCAGGTTGATGCATAATGAATCTCATTTAAACTTTAATTTTCCTTGTTTTTATTACCTATTTCACTTTGTCTTATGCTTTGTTTATTCATCAAGTGCTTAAATCTCAGTTAATATTGATAGTATACAACTTAATAATAATTAACATCATTCAATATACAAATCAAAAATAAACTGCCTTGATGACCCACATGCTTTGGTTGAAACTTTGCACCCATAAAGTCTTTAAAATGACTGCTTCCTGACTAACAGTCATAATATGTCCAACAGTCTACTAACATCCTTAATTTTTTTTTAATAAGAATATTTTCATTGCCTAATTTTAACCAAGTAAAATTATTAATTTTTATTTGATCCTGAGTAATGATTTGGAAACCACTTCAGTAGTAATGTTCTGAGAAACAAAAGTGAGCTATTGTTCTGTATGAAAGAATTAACATATATTTTATTTCAATTCAACTAAGTTATTAATTTGGCTATTGATTAACAGTAAATTTTTTTAAGGAATAGAAAAGTATGTTTTTTCATTATTAATGTTGGTAAGACAGTTTTAGTAATAATTTTAAATATGAGTTAAAACCTTTAATATTTTGTGTAATAAATTCTTTTTCCCTTTCATTTTGAATATTAAGGAATTAATTTTAAACTATCTACTATTAATAAGCCAAGATATTAGAATCCCAGATTTAATTATCTTAAACCTTGTTTATTTAAGTTGAAAAGATATAAATGTTTAGGGACTCCTGTAGTGTTAAAAGGTTATGCAATAAAGTTTGTTACATGTGAACAGAATGATATTTAAAAAAATGTTTCTACACTAGTATTTATACTTTTAAATTAATTGTTCGTTAAGAGGAAGCATTCTGGACATCATTGAAAAATTTATCTATGGGAAGTTCATCAGATCAATAAAAGCATTGGAAGTTTTCTGTCGAATCGAGTACAACTTCGATTGTTCTATATCGGTTACTGTATCACTTCTTAATTGTTAAAATTTTAAATAAATATTATTATTCAGTGTATGTACTTTTGCTGCTTTAGACCTTATTCATCTTTAAGCCAACGCTATTGTTAAAATTTCAGTTCGTAGAATCGATCACAGAACCGACGCTTGCTTCTTACTGAAGAAAGTTCTGCTTAGTATTCAATGGCCGTGTTGAGCTTACGTTACGTTCTCAGTTGTGTCATTTTCGTTTGTTATTTCTGTTATCAAAGTATGATAAGATCAATTGTGTTAAAGAATTGTATACGTTTATTATATAACGGTTATTTAGAAAATAATGGTAAATTAAGTATATACGTTAAAACAGTTTTCAATTTGTCTCCATTTTAAATTTTTATGCAAAATGTAAGATCGTTTTTATTACAAATTTTGATGTTGAATAATGTTTGAAAACGTTACCGATTGGGATTTTTCGTACGAAAATGGTAAGATAATTGCATGCAATTAACTTGTACGGTCAAACAAATTGTGATAATAAAAACGTATTCAACCAATCAAATTTTATTTTATTCTTAATCTTATCATGCATTAATTAAATTGTATAATTGTTTTGTAACAGTTCTCATCAATGGTTTATAAAATTGCATTATTATCCCTCATAACTTCATGAATACTGTTGTGTTTTTTTATTATCTAACACCACACTTTTTTATTAATGATTAATTTTATTGCAGTATGGCAGTTATCCATCATTTTTTAATTACAGAAATTAGTGTATCAGTTTTTGATTGAAAATCTTGTATTATACCTACTATGGAACAAATGTAAGCTATTTTAACGAATAATGGGGAAGATATTTACGTCTTCAACAATCAATGTACACACTACCCTAATTCATTTATAAAACTCAATTAAAAATTCTAGACATTCTCCCCTTTTGTTCCAAGGTACAAGTGTAAACTGAAGTCTTAATTGTATGTCACATATGTTCCTATACACTGTTTTAGAAGTCACAATTGAGAGCTCTAATGTAACAGGATATAACAAGATTGTAATGTAGTTTTACTTCACATGTGCATGAAAATATAATAGTATTAGCTATCCTACTTAATCTTCAAACCAGCCCATGAGTACTTAACTTTCAATTTATCTAAAATATGCTTATTTTATTTTACCTTAAACCATTATTATTTAAACGATAGTAAAAACAACTATTTCTATTGGTTTCGAAAATCAAAAAAAGTTTATTAACCTCTAGAAAATTCATTTTCAATAAAAGCAAAGGGTAGTAATTAGGAAAACTATTAATTTTGAGTAGCAATTCTTACCGTTTCTCCAATTTTCAATGACCAGGTACATGTATTTTCAGTGCTAATTTTGTTTCAATGAAACGGTTATATCCCCCAAGTGACGTAGTATTATTGCAAGGAACTTTCAGTTAATCTAAACTAGGAACTTTCAGTTCATTTAGTCCTGTCCAGTGGCTACTTTGAGATGTTCAGTGCTATAATTGTATCGATTTAATGCCAATTGAAACTATTTTTGTTTAATGAAAAAAACTCAAATAAATAGATTGCTATTAAACACTCCACTTCTATTAGAGTGCTTTAGTATTGATAATTAAATGTAATGTTACAAGTTATAATAATAATAACAACTCCTAGAAGCGCCTGTATTCAATTTTAAGGTACGGTTATACACGGAAAGAATATAAATGACGTATTTAGAGAGCATTCAGTTGTTCATAAGATATCAATTTGATAGAAACGCAAACCTGGTTTGGTTCGCGCTCTTTACTAAATGTAAACGTGATTAGGAATGGACCGTTCTGGGAGGAACGAATTCCACCAATGGAAATGTTCAGAAGGGAACGAGACCCCAAGAAACTTCGTGTTCCGCTGGAACGTAATATAAGACCAGAATAGAAATGTCTTTAGGTTTCGATGGGTAAATGTATGACAGAAAAGTAAAATAGGATTAGTGCGCTATAGCTGATTGCTGTCCAAGTGGATTAACGCAATTGTCGAATGGGTTGTTTACTTCAAGAGTGAACTATAACGACTACATTTAATTTAGATTAAATATAAAGAAATCTAATTAAATTAATATCTAATAAGACCCTAACCATGACTTTAAGATAGCAAGCTCAGTATAGGACTCCAATGGAAGTCTTGGGCCAAAGGAAGAAAAAACTACCAATTTTCGAATTTTAAAATTATTAATTAAAATACCAAGATTCAGATAAACTGTTAAAATAATTATAAACAATAAACATTTTAAACAAATTTTATTATTATTATTGAGGCCAATGATAAATATGCCATGAAATTTGTCATAGGAGATTTTATTACATTTTTTTTCATAGATTATTTGGATTTAGAAAACCCAAGATTTCTCATTTTATTTTCCATTTTTTAGCTACCTATAAAAGTCATGAAAGATATCAATATTGTTTAAACATTTTTGAAAGTCGAAACAAATATTGATTTTATTGAACATTGGCTTTTTTATTATTATTTTATTTTTAATTGAAGAGAAGTTGATTGGGGTGTTGATTAAAAATAAATAAATTATATTTGTTGATGATTCGGCCCAAAGTTCGGGCCTTCATCAGGGTTGTACTCGCGAGATGTTCCCGCAAGACCTAAAGATAGGAAATAAATTAATAGAAATAGAAACTAATACAATCGAACATAATGTACGAAGGTATAAATACATATAAACGAAATACATAAATCGCATAAATTTTTGGGACCAATAATGAGTCAAATAATAAATGAAAATATATATAGTGACTGGCCTAGACAGACAACGACTACAGAAAAATTCAAAATAGCCAGAGGAAAATTTAAATCTTATGAAGCAGCAGGAACAGATAATATTCCTAGTAGACTAATCAAGCCATATAGAGAAGCTGGAGTTTGTAAAATGCCTCTTTTGGTAAAAAAAATCTTGGTAAGTGAGGAAATATATGAAGAATGGACAGAACCAATTAATATTAAGATTCACAAAAAGGCCTCGAGGGAGAGTCGTAATAACTATCTAGAAATCTCTCTCCTTCTCAGTATGTTCCAAAACCATTCAAATCTCGATCACATATTTTCCTTAGGGCAAATATTAATGAAAAAATTACAGCCGTGTTGTTCCTCAGCTGTGTGTCGATTTCAAAAAAGTTTATGGTTTTATCGACCTTCACAATCTATATAATACTCTGATTGAGCAGGAGATATCAACAAAGTTGGTTAATCTATTAAGATTGAGGATGAACAAAGCAGTTGATAAAGTTAGAATCTGTAATTATTTATCCAAGAGATTTGAGGTTCGTTCGGTTTTAAAACAAGGTAATTCTCTTTCACCTGTTTTATTTAATATACCATAAGAACATGCCACTAGGAAGGCAATAGGTACCGAAGATGGTTTGAATCAGGTTGGAACAATATCTTGCTCGTGTGTGCTGATGATTAGTGACTATTAAGGAAAAACACCGAAATTAAAAAGGTAAATACAAAGTTGACGAAAACCTGTATATAATTGGAGCTCGAACGGACAAGACAAAATGTATCAGCTGCAAAAACGGCGACGATATCGATGATATAAATATAAAAAGGAGTACGTTTGAGCATATAGAGAAATTTAGATAGAAACTAATAACAGATTGAAGAAGAAATTAAGGCTTTGAATGCGAGAAATTCTTTTTGTTTTTTTATTGTAATAGTACTTACCTAGCTCGCGCCTCCTGTTCCGAAATTAGAAAATTAGAATTTACAAAATTATTATTCTTTCTACGGTACTAGGTTGATACGAAATGAGGCCACTTACTTTAAGGGATAAGCAATGTCTAAACATTTTTAAAAATAAAGTATTCTGTTATATATTCGGACTGAATAAGGATGAGTCAACCGGAGAATTTAGACAGTTACACAAAGCCGAACAGTGGCAGATCCAGGAATTTTCTCAGGGGGGGGGGCGCACCTCTGTACGAGGTGCTACCCCAACCTCTACCCGTTCCTCCACCACTAACCATCTCCCCCACTCCTTAGCTAAGTTTAGCCGCTCAAAAGTCCTCTTTAAATGGTTTTAACAAAAGCAAACTCAATTTTATTTAAAGTAAATTTTGTCTAGTTTACAGTCATCGTCAATTACTTAAATTAAAAAAAAAATCGTTATTACTCCCCCTATTCAACAAACAATGTAACTTACATAAAAAATCACATTAATTTCGTTTCCCTAATTTCCTACTGAAAATCGAACCATGTTTATTTAAACTTCTTTGTACTTATTGAATTTGGCTATCACTTAAGTATTCCCCTCTACTTAAGAGACACCGTGTATATGTTCTTAGACATGTAGAAAACTAAGTTGCTAACACGGGTCACCAAGAGAAAACTTTTTACAGCCAAAATATCCAGATTTATCTGACCTTTTTTTTTCATGTAGTACTACTAAACAGTGCTTCAAAGCGAAAAACGTATTCTTTTTGAAATTAAAGAACGTCAAATTGTGCGTTGAACGAGTATCTAACTTAATTTGATTAAGTGGTATGGTCGATAACCACGGCAATGAACACTAATTTTTACCGACATTGTCGAAATCTGCGAAACATCACTATAAATGGCCCTGCAGCTTGGAAATGAGTTCTTTAAAAACAAAGACTCAGAATAATTTCCGATTCTGATCAAATCGTAGATCAAATAATTAGTACCTTCCTTCATCAAATCGTTCCCAACAGCAGAATTCTATTTTAAGAAAAGAATAACACTTTCAAATGAAAAATATACAAATTATTATCGTGGCCAGTTTTATGAATCGCATGGATTCTTCAAGGTGACTATAGTTGCTGGAGGTTGCAATTCGTCCAGATCTATTGGAATTGAATAAAAACGGGATCCGGGAGAAAATCCGTATTTTTTTTTGTGTTCGAATAAAAGATTGTTCATCTGTTCAAAAAAAAAAAAAATAAATAAATGAAGTTCATTTTTTTAAAAATATATTTTCCTCCATCATGTATTTCACCTGTGAGATTCAGTTCGGATTCAATAGGAACAAACTGCGACAGGAGCACAATCCTTCGAATCTAATGGCGGCCCAAAAACTACGTCACTCTTTTCTTTAATTAGCTGCTTTTTGGAACTTTTTGTAATTTTTTTTATATATTAAAAAGTTAAGTTAACGGAGAGTGGCGAAAAATATATAAATAGTAATTTCTAAAAACTAACATTATTTAACGTAAATCACGTGTTTTCAAGAGAATTAAATGAAATTTTCTTACTAAATGTAAACTTTTAAAACTGTTTTTATGTTTGAAAAAGTATTTAAAGTCCACGGATTAAAGACAATGACATAGTTTGAGATACTATTTCATTGTACTTGTGTGAAAGAAGAAGTGAAATATAAAAATATTTCATGGATATGTTTATAACCTTAAATATATTTACTGTAGTTCAATAACTCTAGATATGATATTATACTTAAATAATTCGGTATCTATCGTCCATTTATTCCGAAAAATCATCATCATTTTAGAAAATTAAATTTGTGAATAATTTGATTAATTTTCCCTTCGTAATACTCCAACAGTATCCACTTTTAATTAGTGAGACAAAATTTTTGACTTGTCTATGACAGACAGTGCAAATCTTTTAATTCCATTTTAGTAAACTTACAATGGAAAATAAATATTTAACAACTAATAGTCCTACAATCCATTATCATCGGATCGTACAATGCATAGTCAACGGGTCGTACAATCCATAATCAACCGGTGTTATAATAAATAGGACTTTTGTTATTTTAATGATATTGTTATGATTTTTTAGCTTTAGATCGGTTAAAAATGCAATTCAAAAATTTTATAATAGCCCAACATGGCCATTATAAATAATTTCATTGAATAATTTCTATTCAAATTTTTTTTTTTTTTTTTTTTGTCCTCCCCTTCCTCGCCGTTAAGGCTATACGGGGTTTTCCCGGGCCAGGGGGTGTGGGCGGGGATTTAAAAGACTCCCCCGGCACCGGGACGAGAACTCGTGGTTATTTTTTTTTATCACAATCTTATATATCAGGTTGCCGGGCAACGGCGGTGCAGTGCACACGCTTTAGCCCATTCGGCTACCCCGCCCACTTTCTATTCAAAGTTGAGCGGTAAGTGAAAGTTGTGCACCAGATTTTTTTTTTTTTATATTACATTAGAAAATTTGTCTGTGAGGATGAATTTTCCGTGTATTTCTCTTTTCTTTAAATACGTGTTTTTTCGTAATTATTTTTCTACCATCCAGAGGAGGACGCGGCACCTGGCAGAAATCGCTAGTGCTGGTCACTTTAATAATTGTTTTTTTATATTACATTACGAAATTCATCGTCTGTAAGGATGAATTTTCCCTATATTTCTCTTTTCATTAAATATCTGATTTTTGAAACTTTAAAAAAAAATTTCCAGCCTCCAGATGGGGAGGGGGCGCCCCCTGGCTGGATCCGCTAGTGACGCGGAATCGCATAATCTATAATCGGTAAATATGATTGAAGTGATTAAATTGCAGCTCATAATTGGGTATATAAAACTGTCGGGCTTAGTTAACTAAAAGATTAATATGTACTGTACCAACTGGCAAGCGTTCGAGAGACAGACCAAAGCGTTGGTGGGAAGATTGCTGATCTGGCAGGATTAGTTTTGGACAACGGTCAGTCGATGGAAGTATGTTGACATCAATTGGTGGCATCGGCATTGAACCTTCGGATTTGCTAAGGCTTTATTATTGTTATAAATTATACTTGCCAGTATTCGAGATTACTTCAGACCTATTCCCGGAACATCTTTTAATTTATCACACAGTCAACTATCAATACATGATACATTTTTTTTTACAGAAACAGAAAAACTGCCTGATGAAAGAAATTGGCCCGGAAGATTTTATCCATCCTGGGGAAACGTATCTCCATCATCCAGGTTCGGACTTATGCTCCATGCATATGGCTTCGCTGGCTCATTTACTGTGCTTGCATTCTATGCTTTCTTTTCAGTTCTCAATATCAGGTATACTTTAAATTTAAAACACAAATGTTAAATTAATAGGCACTGTAATAAGCTTAATGATCATAATATATGAACATACTTTTTTTATTTTTAAACAGAATTGTTTAATGTTACAGTTCTAACTTCTTTCCTGAAAACCTCCATTTTTTGCGATCGTTTAAAGAGAATAAAGTATATTATGATTTACTTATGATCTATAAATGTAAATAAAATATAAGAAGTGTTTATACCTAAACCATCAGATCAGGATTGGATTCAAAGTAAAAAAAGACATAAAATTTTATGATATTAAAAAAAGAAGTTGACACAGATTTTTAATGTATTATTCTCTACCTTGGAATAAAAAGGGATAATAATAAAAATGTGAATTTGAATAAATTGATCGAAAAACAAAACAGAAAAAAAAATGTTAGATTTTTATCAATGGTCTTCAATTATTAGCTGTTGATACTAACTTATAATGGTAGGGAATTAGCTTGAGTTTATTTTTCAGTTTATTCCAATTCAAAAGTTTGAAGATATTGGCCTTTTTTGTTTAGTTTTATGTACGGACTTGATATGAGTGAAAACCAACTCAGAACACCTGTTGATAATTTTCTTACAATTAATTTAATGATATACATAGGTAATTCATACTTAAGGACATAAACGTAATCGGACACTTATATTTGGCAACACCAACAAAGCGTTTCCCCCCTTCTTCATCTCCACACCCTATTCCTGTCCTCATATTACCTAAAACCGAGCCGGAACTCACTTGAGAAAATAATCCCGCATCCGTCCAAACTAGGCTTGCTCGAGCAAAACTGCTCCACGGCCACTTCGATAACGCACAACAATCTACAGCTAAACGTGCTTTTAAAAAATGTAATAGAACTAAAAACGCCAGGCAAGCGTGTTAGCATAGATTTCTATCGAGTAAATAAGGAAATTTTATTGTTTTGATTGTTTATTTTGCCATTTATTCTCCTCTTTGACATTAACTCGATTTTGGAGCATACGTTTATCCCTTGTTCGTCTTAAGTAATGGAAATAGAAATAAAAATATGGACACACTAAGATTATAATTTTATTTGAAAACTGAATAGAATATTCTTACACAAAAGTCTAATAAAGCTCATCAAGTTAAAAAATTTATTCATATAATAAAAAAATGTTCACTGCCGACCACATTTCAGGATTTAAGGAGAAGACGTTAGCGAAGTTTTATTGAAATTGTTACATTCTCTAGCGACACACGTTTTTCGATAACTATTTCGAAACGAAAGATCCGATCACTACTGAATTCGATTGCAACGTTTATCAACATTTGACAGTTATCGGGGAAGAACTTTCGGAGATTATCAATTATGAACAAACGAACATTTGTATTCTTATTTATATAGATGGTTGAGATTGACACGCCAATCTCAATCCTTCCCTCATTCTTCACTACATCTCTCACAACTATGTTCCCTGTCCTTCGGCTATTTCGAAACAGGATTTGAGGACGTATACACGTATTTTGCACACCCCAGAAAATCAGCACCCATCAAAATGATCAAGAAGTAGTACTTTTGGCTACACATGTCTAAATATATTACTAAAGTTGTCCAAAATTGTATGCACAGTTCAGTCATGATCATTCGTACAATTTTTTGATCACCTGTTATGTACTTTCTCATCTAAATCCTGCTAGGTGGTGATCGCCATTATGTTTTCAAACCTATTATTCACCTAAACTATTATGTTCTCAGTTAAGCAGGATACTGATCTCTTTACCTGTCTATCAGGATCTTATAGATAGCTACAACCATGCACCTCTTTTTTGTTCATCTTAATCAATGTAGCTTAATCAGTTTGGCTAAGCAGACTTTTTACCTACCTTTAGGGTTTACCCAGGTGTAATAGTAGAAATCCAATTTGTATAGACATTTTTACATGATTAGCCAGTTAGACATTGTGCTTTTATTAAACAGGATGTTTTGCTTATTATTTTTATTCTATTTTAAAGTAGTAGTGACAACGATATCATAAACATTCGTTTTAGCTGAATAACTTCTAGAAATATGCCCATGCTATGCAGGCTGTTTTTTTCTACCATGTTCAAGGTATAAAATTATTTAACATATTCATTCAGTTGTTTTGTATTTTTTATACTTTATAGTTTAATTATTATAATTTATAATTTACATATTTCCAAATATACTCCCCCTCCCCCCCAAAAAAGTACAAATATTTAAATAAAAAAGTACATGTATTAAATTTATTTTGGTTTATTATTTCCAATAATGAACCTACGTAGAACTCGAAAGTCGAATAAAAAAAAATTTGTCCGACCGCCGTCGGCGTATTTTCTCCAAGACTACTGGGCCTATTTTTTTTTTTTTTCAAATTTTGAATCAAAGTCAGACAGAGGTCACCTGAGGATGATCCTCCTACGTCGGCATTACTATCTGCTTTCAAGATAGCGGTCGAAAAAACTGTGTTGTATACACTGTTGCGCCTTAACGAATGTACCAAGTTCAAGAAAACTTGGCTTTTCTTTTCCTGGATGCTCTTTAAATAACAGTATACAACATACTTCACAAAAATTTCTTCCCTGTCAAGATGGCAGCCAAACGACCTGTTCGTGTCGTATAGACTGTACCGATATTAATGAAACTTAGCTAAATTCTTCTCCTAAACCACTTAAATGCATGTATATAACATACTTCAACGAAAAGAATCTGGAAAAAAAGCTACGAGGAGTGGTAAAATTAAATTTCCGAATAACTCCAAAATTATACACTTTTTTGTTGATGTTTATGTTTTTTTTAAAAATTTCTAAAAAAAACAGTCGTTGGAATAGGAAAGTTCGGTGCAAAGATATGGTGTCTAAACATTTTTTATATGTTCTATGGTAAAGCTCAAATCCTTATTTTTGGTTTTTGAAAGTGTTGTCTATTTTTTTAATTAAATTACTAATAATAAAAAAAAGTTATTTAGGCCAATATTAAGAATCACCTTTTATTTATTTTCCTTTATGTTACAAGAAAAGTAATATTACTTTTGATGTATAATAGTTTATAAATAATAAACTATTTTGTAATAATTTGCAGTGCTTTAAAATATAGAGTAATATTATTGTTCCTTTTACTATAATTATGTTGGTTATGTTAATTGCCGTACATAATATGAACTTTAACCATCTATTGTTTCCCTACCTCTCCCTTCCCAATCAAAATGGGAGGGGTGCGCCTATATCTATGAACTGAAGTCGTTATGATCATAGCTATGATTTTTAATATTTTATTTTCATTAATGTTTTTATGCCATTGTTTGTTTCTTAGATCAATGATCGCATCAAGGCCATACATGTCAACCATAAACGTCTTTCTCTGTCTCCTGGGTGCTTCCAGAGCTATAGTTCTTTTTGTTGATCCTTACGCTCTTCGTGATGTAAGTGAAAAAGTATTAAATTTTATTTATGTTTAAATTTGTTAATAATAATTCATGTTGTTATGAATTAAATAATAATTGTCGCGTGTGTCTACTCATGACTTTCCTTACTTGATGTCGCTATGGTGTTCAAATCGTACACAAAAACTACATACAGTTTCTTCCCTAATGTTGGTCCGATTATATTTGTTGGTACTAGTTGCTAATCCAAGATGGCGTTTCATTTCAAGATCGCTTTGAGCTCACTGTAAGCCGAGTATAGTCAATCATGTTCACATACACTACCATAAAATGTATTATATTTAAAAGTTCCAAGTAAAAAACTACTAAATCTGTGAGGGTATTTAAATCAATTATTGCGACATAATAAACATCATTCTCTCCCATTACAACAGGAAGTAGCAGGTTTAGCCATGTGTGTTCAAAGTGCACATTCAGCTCTCTTAGGGATTTTTACCGTAGTCTATCAACTAGCGTTGAAGTTTCGGCTGTCCATTTTTTTTTTTCAAAAAATTGTTATCGTGTGTTGGAATCAAATACTTTGACTCACGTTAAGTTTGATTATATTTGGTACCACAGGCGGATCTAGAGGAGGGGGCTTTTGGGCTGAAGCCTCCCCAAAATGGTAAAATATAACCATGGTTACAGAAAAAAATTATCTCTAAAAGTATTATTGTTCGTCTAATTAATAGGACTAAAAGAATCATTTAAACACCATTTCTTTTTTTTTTTTTTTTTTTTTTTGGTTCTTCCCTATCTCGCCTTTTAGGCTATACGGGATTTTCCCGGGCCGGGGGGTGAGGGCGGGGAATTTAAAATCCCCTCCGGCACCGGGACGCGAACTCGTACTTTTTATACATCTCAAATCTCTGTTATCCGGTTGCCAGGCAACTAGCGGTGATGTTACACACGCTTTAGCCTATTCGGCCACCCCGCCCCTTAAACACCATTTCAAATAGGTAGTTAGTTTCTTTCTTCCGAAGTAATTATCCTAATATATACGTACAAAAAAAAAAAAAATCATTCGGGCTGAAGCTACCCTCTCCCCCCAAAAAAATTAAATCCTGGATCTGTTAGTGTTTGGTACTATCATCCAGGCCGACGAAGCCGGAGATAATCTTACTTGGAATAATGAGGCTTTTAAGCTAATTTCTTCATGTGGTGATGGCAGCAAATTTACTTTATCCATCGGGCTCTTTTCTGCCCTACTAATTGTGATGTCCCCTGATCTAGGCTTTCGGCTTTGTTACGTCTTAATCTCTCATGTCTTTGTCGATTTGGCTCTCTATACATTTTCTTTTCTTTGCTCACTGGAGTATTTTTTCTTTGTTGCCTTGACCTTCTGTTATTTTATTTGTAAGCACTTCTGAAGATTCTGTGGCTTCCAAAGTTCGAGCTTTGTCCATGTCTCCACTCCGTTCCGGTTTCCTGGTGCATCCCGTTTTAGGTTAAAGACTTTAAAGTGCCACACCATTCACTGAAACATCTATTTCTTTCCGGACAGATCTCCGTTATAATTTTGGCGAATATCACGTTATTTTTCTGTGAATAAAGCGTTTCAAAGGTCATCCTCACGGCTAGAATAAGGATAGTAATTACTACTGTCTTCACTATGTTAAAAAAAAAAATAAAGTTAAGTTTTTGTTTTCCTTTCATTTATTTACAATTCAAAAGAATTCTATCAAAACTAAATATATCCTTTTCTCATAAAGAAAATATTTTACTTCGACGAATTAAAAATCTGCATCCCAAAATCATTTGGTTTATTTCAAAACTTAAATTTTCCTTGATCACATGTTGCAAAGTAATATTTCCAGTGCCGGCCTTAGAACTAGGGATGGGTCGGATTGTATGTATCAGATACTTTTATCTGATACTAAAAAAGTATCTGATACAACCAGTAGATACAACCAAAAAGTATCTGATACAAAAGTATCTGATGCTCACATGGATACAAAATGGTTGTCCAGACATGCCACATTGATATAAGAGAAATGTTTAGTTATAATTTTAGTTGTACACAATTTTTTTAGAACTATCTATTCATTTAGTTTAATTTAATTAAATATTTATTTGTAGATAAATATATTCACGCTTATTTTTTTTTTTTTTATGTAATGTTAATTTCAGATATTTTTATCTGATACTGCTATCGGATATTTTTATCTGATACTAGTATCAGATACTTTTATCTGATATTTGTATCAGATATTTTTATCTGATATTTGTATCGGATATTTTTATCTGATATTTGTATCGGATATTTTTATCTGATATTTGTATCAGATATTTTTATCTGATACCTCCATCGGATACTTTTATCTGATATCTGGACTAGATACCTAGCGGTATACATACTGGCGCTTGGGCTTATTAGTTAATATATAATAGTTCTAATGACTGTATAGTTATGTCAGGTACTAAGAAAATATTTACACAATTTTTTAAACAAAATATGCTTCATATTTGACAAAAGAATGGAATATATTAAATAAAAATATAACAAATTCATGCAGAGGAAATATTTTCCTAATACAACGTTCTTAAGAATTTTGTAACAATTAAAAAAATTCTTTATAGTTAAGTTTAACATACACACACACATATATATTTATATATATATATTTTTTTTCTGTTTGTATTACAGACCATGTAGATCTTTTGCCACCTTAACAAGTATGCTCAATCTCTACCTCTCTTGGGCTATTTCTTTCCATTATCTGATATTTGTATCCGATATTTTTATCTGATACTCGCATCGGATACTTTTATCTGATATTTTTATCTGATACCTGGACTAGATACCCAGCGGTATGCATACTGGCACTTGGGCTTCATATCTCAATAATTGTATCAGATACTTTAATCCAACTGTAATTGATTATTGATCGGGTTTGATATTTTAATACCTATTTGATACCTAATAAAACATATATTAAATATGTACCTATATATATTTTATTCCTTTATTATTAAATTTGTCCCTGTAATAAATATTTTACACCATTTTTAAATATAATAGTTCTAATGACTTTATAGTTATGTCAGGTACTATGAAGATATTCACTATACCATAGCTAAGTTTAACATACTCACACACACATATATTTCTTTTATTTTCACCGATCAATCTACATCTTGGGATTTAGATTATATAGGACTTGTATAATGCTTACAATACTATTATTGTATTCTTTGAACATATTAAATTACATATGTAAGTCATTTAAAGTAAATATTTATCCACTCTTTTAATATTATTTTTTTCATTAATACAATGTTATTACAACAAAAGTAATTTGTCGTTCATTTCAAATTTCAGTTAAAATTCCATAGTTTATTGTTTTTAGTAACTATCTTGCTGTATTGGGACCTTATTGCTCATATTATGTCTTTAATATATCAGTATAGTTATGTAAATCCTTCTGTTATTACTTATTTTTAAGTTTTTTTGTGTTTTTTTTTATTGTAATATGCATTTTGGCAAGTTGTTATGTTAATTTTTATGTACAATATTTTTATTCTCAAGGGACTTTGTCCCAGAATAAAGTTGATTCTTCTATTCTATTCTATATATATATATTTATTTTTTCTGTTTGCATTACAGACCATTTAGATCTTTTGCCACCTTAACAAGTATGCTCAATCTCTACCTGTCTTGGGCTATTTTTATTATAGTAGGCAAAAGACCACGTCGGAGGCCAAAAAGCAAATGGATAGATAGAATCAACAAAGATACAATAGAGCTGCGTGCAGATAAATGGCAAAAAATAGCCCAAGACTGGCAGAGATTGAGCATACTTGTTAAGGTGGCAAAAGATCTACATGGTCTGTAATGAAAACAGAAAAAATAAATATATATATAGAATAGAATAGAATAATCACCTTTATTCTGGGACAAAGTCCCTTGAGAATCCAATAAGTAATAACAGAAGGATTTACATAACTATACTGATATATTAAAGACATAATATGAGCAATAAGGTCCCAATACAGCAAGATAGTTACTAAAAACAATAAACTATGGAATTTTAACTGAAATTTGAAATGAACGACAAATTACTTTTGTTGTCATAACATTGTATTAATGAAAAAATAATAATAAAAGAGTGGATTAATATTTACTTTAAATGATTTACATAAGTAATTTAATATGTTCAAAGAATACAATAATAGTATTGTAAACATTATACAAGTCCTATATAATCTAAATCCCAAGATGTAGATTGATCAGTGAAAATAAAAAATATATATGTGTGTGTGAGTATGTTAAACGTAGCTATTAAGAATTTTTACAAAATTCTTAAGAACGTTGTATTAGGAAAAATTTTTCTCTGCATGAATTTGTTATATTTTATTTAATATATTCCATTCTTTTGTCTAATATGAATCACATTTTGTTTAAAAAACTGTGTGAATATCTTCATAGTATCTGACATAACTATAAAGTCATTAGAACTATTATATATTAACTAATAAGTCCAAGACTAGACTAGATACCAAGCGCCAGCATGCATACCGCTGGGTATCTAGTACAGGTATCAGATAAAAATATCAGATAAAAGTATCCGATGCGGGTATCAGATAAAAATATCTGATACAAATATCAGATAAAAATATCCGATACAAATATCAGATAAAAATATCTGATACAAATATCAGATAAAAGTATCTGATGCCAGTATCAGATAAAAATATCTGATACTAGTATCAGATACAAAGTAGTAGGAAGGTCATAACCAACTACTGACCCATTTGTATCAGATACAAAAGTATCAGATAAAAGTATCAGATACAAAAAAGTACCCGTATCAGTTGTATCTAGATACAAAAATTTTAGTATCAACCCATCCCTACTTAGAACTTAAATTAAAAAACAACATTATTATTTATATGATTATAATATTCAAGAAAACAAGACAAAACGTATTAAAATAATTAATTGTATACTATTAATAAAGCAACTGTATTCGAGAAATATTGAATGAAATAAAATTCAAATATATCACAATAAAAACAGCTTAAGAAATAAATTTCTTTCTCTCAGGAGAGGAGAGAGATGACATTGCCCGAGGGCGCCGAATACCTAAGGCCAGCAATGAATATTTCCTATAAGATTCTTCAGAATTTAGTAGGAGATGCATTAAAAATGAAACTGAATGCTGTTGATATTTTAACCACAGATCTTTGTCTGTTACTATAATTTTCATCTGTCATAACAGTTACTTGGTTTCAGGAGATGATCTACTAATATTTTAAAATAACTTATTCAATTTTTTTTTTTTAGGTGATGCCGAAAGCAATGGCTGCTGCGATTTTTGATTTGGGTACAGCCTGTATAACTTCAGCTTTGTGTCTTACTCACCTGGCTTTAGTTCATATTGCACAGGTATCCATTTTATTTGCTAAAAGTTTTAGCATGTTGTTAATATTAACATACATAATTATCAATGCAATACACAAAATAGTCTCATTATTTTTTCTCTTTGGTTATGGGCTGCATTAACGCCGAATGATAATAATTTAATTTTACATATAGTGGATAAAATAATTTGTTTTTTTCTCTTACTCTCCAATGGTTTTATGGAACAAATACAATATATTCATACAATATATATGTATATAATTGTACTGTTCAGTTTTGTTACATTTGACATAATTTGGATTATGGGATTGATGGGCACCATCAAGTAACAAAAATTAATAGTATTTAAAATCAGTAGCAGATCCATTATTTAATTTGGAGGAAAAGGGATTCAGCTGGAAAGCTTTTTTTTTTTTTTTTTTATAGATGTAATGATTATTACTTTGGAAGAAAAAAAAGGAAGAAATTACCTATAAAAAATGGTGCTTAATTGATTCCTGAAGTCTTATGAAATATAATTACACAAACAATAATACTTTCAAAGATATTTTTTTCATAATTCGTGGTTTTATTTTACCATTTTGTGGGCTTTTAGTCCAAAACCCCTCCTCTTATCCCTTAACCTCCTTCCATCTCCCCCATTGATCCACCTATAATTAATACTATGTTAATGAAGAGGAGAATAGTTGGGGTGCTCAGTCAAAAAGGAAGGCAAAAAATAAATTATAATATTTATTTCTTACATATGTAAGAAATATGTCATTCTTGAAGGCATATGTAAGAAATATTATAATTTATTTTTTGCCTTCCTTTTTGTCTGAGCACCCCAACTATTCTCCTCTTCATTATCCACGACAGTCAACCAATTACCAATTATAATACTATGTTATATTACCATATTAAAAATTAATATTCGCCCTTTCAGTAGTAGAGCCAGGATTTAAGGTTGGGGGAGAGCTTAAGCCCAAAAGGTTCTTTTTAATATATATATGTATATATATATGAACGATCTGTATGAAATACTGTTTAAGTCATTCTTGAACTCCTATTTAAAATGCAATAACATGAAAAATAATACTTTTAGACATAACTTTTTTACATGTGGTTATTTTTAGTAGTTGTATATGTATAATTGTTATTGTATAAGTATTTAGCTTAGATTGCTTAGAGCAACAAATATAGATCAACAAAAAAAAAATTTATTTTTTGAGGGCTTCATCCTGAACCTCTCCACGAAGATTCGCCTGTGGCCCTTTATAAGAAAATTACTGCACGAGAAAGTGAAGCTATAAAAATATAAACCAAGAATTTTAATGAAATAATTATTTTCTACACGACAGCGGAGAGGGGTCAAGATCTAAAAGGAAGTAGGAGAACACATCTCGAAGATACCCTCTGGTTAGACACATCTCTGGTTAGAATAGGTTCTGTTCTACCTCTAGAATCGGTTCTGTTCTATATAAAGCAAACCTATTTTGCCTATGAAACAACCTATGAAACAACCTAGTTTGAAAAACATTACAATTCGAGCAGAAGAAACACTATTTCTTGAATTTTCTCAGAAAATAGTGAGTTTCCAATGATCATAAAATCTTATAGGCTTACTGATTCTCCACCTTCTTAAATAAATAATAAAGATGAAACACTCTATTAATGTGAAAAGGTGAGGGGTTGTTCTAGAGGTTGAATCAAACCTATTCCAACCAGAGTGGCAAGGTCGACATTCATTCCGTAGAGTCCACCACAAAATAAATTTAATCCCAGTATCGCTGGACTTGAGAATATTCAAAGTTTGCATCCTTTAACATGCTCCACCATCACAACCTCCAAATAATGTTATATTGTTGGATTATGAAACAAAGCTATGATTTATAAATCATTTTTTGTCATTGTAATAATATGAGAGCTAGTTTATAATGATTGACTTTAAATTATTTCATCCGACTGTATAGATCAGAAAAATTGTGGATATTAACACTGAAAGTGTATAGTTAATTGTAATGATTTATGTATTTGTTGAGGATAATATACACTGCAAATACTTGTTCTAGGTAAAAATGAAACTAAAGCCATTCTCAAGTAAGACCTTCATAAGCGTTGCAATCACCCTCCATCTTTCTTGTCTTCTTGGAATGGATATTTCCAGTGCTCTACAGCCTCGCTTTTCATACGTAAGTTATTTCTCTCAAAAATAGTTAAAACATATTTCTATTAAGTTAGTAGTTAAATGTATAATATTAAATTATATGCTTTATGATTTACCAAGTATGGTTAATAAGATTTAACTTTAATTATGTTGACTATTAATTGTCATTTGTTTCATACTTTCCTTTCTATCTCACAGTCTTTTTTAATAACTATTTATTCTAAATAAACAATTATAATGTTTTTTACCTATATAATTAAAAACTTTATCAAAATCATATGTTTGATTATTCATTCTTAAGAAGTTTTCAACCATTTTGAATAATATCCCATATCATTCTCAATATTGAAATATATAGATAACCATTTGTTTACTGTTTTTACTATATCAGATTCTATTTACCATAAACAAAAAAAAAACCTATTTTATGAAGCTTTAGATTACAAGAAGGTATTATTATGAAAATCATAGGTGTTCTGAGTAAGATTGGCACAAACTTCTTCTGTCCACAATTTTTTGAAAATTATTTGCTTGTTATATATTATATTTGTTTATGGGAACTTTGCATTTTTTTTTTCTCTTGTTACATAAAATTGAAGTATTTCAGGTTTATGATTTAACCCCCCAACTTTCACTGTTTTGAGCTCTTCTTTCATAATGGGTTGCACTGTCAGCCTTTTTAATTTTCATAAAACAATACAAGGAATGCTGAATGATGATTCATTTTTAAGTGTTTTATTGATGAAAACAAAAGAAGTTCCAAATATGCCTAATTATTGCTTAGTTTAAAATTTAAATTTATAAGGCCTTTATTTTTATGAATTATTTACAAAACATAGTGTGCATTGGAATGAATCATGAAATCCTAGGATATGTTGATGATGCAAGTGTCCTCAAGAGGACATTGAGAGACTCATTAAGCTTCTCATTACAAGACTGATAATGAAAGCAGAGCATTGGCCCTCAAGTAAATGAAGACAAAAGAAAACTTATGATAGTAAGCCAAAAAATACACTCTAAAAGCAGAATCTTGCGTAGATGAAAAATTGTTTCCAAGAGTAGACATCCAAAATAGACCAAAGTATTAAAAAGCACAAACAGATTTCTTCTCTATTTCAATGGTACTTAAATCCTTAAGAAACTGAATTAAAGGACTACAATAGTGTTTAAAACCCAGTTCTTACATGTGTCAGTAAGATCCAGACAGTGGTTATATTATTGCACATTTTATTCGTTTACAAGTAAAATCTCTGGTCCGAATAGCTATCCGTAGAATAACATATTTAAATTTTATGTTGCAAGTTTTGCCAATTTTGTCTTAAACTGTACGGTTTGATTTTGGTTGCATTCAATTGCGCATGTTTGTCCTTTTGTGATAAATTAGATTATTTATGAATCCAAATGTATATGTGTGTGTTAATATTTACCTTTTCACTTTACTAGCTTGTTAAAATTAAATTCATTCTTCTAGATAGAAAAATATGAGGAAGGTAAATTATTCTGGGAAAAACAAAAATTGAATTTAACATTACAAAAGGAAGAAGTAAACATAACTGAGAAATATTCTTAGAATAGAACTTATTTAAATTACTAGATAATAAAAAGTTGTTTGGTAGAATAAGCTGTTTTGTTTGTAAGTCATTTATTGTTATTGTTTTGACTTTGATTGTTGTAAGTACCCTTTCTGGCTATGAATTTATTTGTAGTAATTTCATTATTACAAAAAAATTATTTAATAATACTTTAAATTTGAAGTATTATTAAATAATTCTTCTCAAGATAACCTCAGCGATCTGCAATCAGAGGACTCATGCATGGTGGGGAAGAACTAATAAAGAACTGCTTACAGAAACGGGTGAGTCTATATTCGTTCATGATATGAAGGATATGACATGTAGCTTGAAGCAATTCATCAGGCAGCCCCAAGAATGACATGTGGTCATTTGATTGACAGCTATGAGCAACATGTGTGGGCGGGGTAGCCGAATGGGCTAAGGCGTGTGCACTGCACCGCCGTTGCCCGGCAACCTGATATCTAAGTATGATATAAAAATAGCCACGAGCTCGCGTCCCGGTGCCTGAGGGGGTCTTTTAAATCCCCGCCCACACCCCCTGGCCCGGGAAAACCCCGTCTAGCCTTAACAGCGAGGAAGGGGAGGCACCAAAAAAAAAAAAAAAAAAAAAAAGCTATGAGCAACATGTTTTACCAATCTTAACCACCTTGGGAGACCATGTAGGAGGCCAGAAGCCAGATGGATATATAAAATCAACAAAGATAATGCAGATCTGCATGCAACATACTAGAAGGCAGTAACCCAAGACTGGCAGAGGTGGCAAAGGCTGTTCAAGCAATTAAAAGGTCTGTAAAGCCAATACAAAAATGAAAAAAAAAAAATACAAACATGTTTTTAAATATGTCCTTCAACTGTGGTGGATTTTTTGTATTGCACAGCCCACAGAAATTGTGGAAAATGTCACTCTCTCCAATCGTATTTCCAAACAGTTGTCTCTGAATTTCATTTATTAACAACCCTGTCTTTTGGTAATATAGTATTCGGCAATAACTTAGAGGCATTATTGTCGAATTTCCCTTCTTTGCAGTCATCACCTCTGTTTTAAAATAACATCCTTCTATTGCTCTTCTCCTAGACAAACTTCATCTTCTGACGGCGTTCATACCATGAGCTTCATCTTCTTCCTCGGGCCTATGGGTTAAAATAGGTCAGCTCTATCACCTTTTTCTAGCCATTAGTGAAATGTTTAAACCATAGGAAATTTTTCTCGCTTACTAAATTTAGGGAGTGTGATGAAGTAAGGGAACCTTGTACAAATTTAACCCAACTTCACTTGAGTTCACAAATGATGATTTCATAAGAAGTTGTTGAATTTATGTTTATCCATTTTTCAGGCTAGCTTATCTCTGAAAATGGTCAACAACTATTGATTTGCAAACTGAAAGTTTTCCTTTATGTTTTGAAACAGTTATTTTAATTTTTATACCTAGTTTTTGGATGAATATCATTAAAGTGAAAACTTTTTTGTGACTGAAATCCCCTCATGAATTTTTTTGTACTTCTGATGAATTATGTAGTCACTTATTAGGAATTATCCTAGTATCCAACTATGTTCTGGAGTATGAACCAAAATATAATCTATGCACTTTTTAATAATGACTAAAATCTGGCATGTAAACAAACATTATTAGTTGAAAGAGGTTAACAATTACTGATAATGATGTGTATAACATGTTTTTATTATTAGGTTGAAATTTATATAAATATTCAGGTACCTGTTTAATGGAATTAGTGAATGTACAACAGGAAGACTGCAAAAAAATGTATTTATTCATATGTTGCCCCAATGATTAATTAACACTATTCAGTTATTTAGAATATAGTAACTAGAGAAGTTATCTGTTGCTCAGTGTTGCCACTGTTGGTCCCCCACTTATTAAGAAAACTTGCATGCCAATTTTTAATAAGCAATATATTTATTCTTTTATTTCCTAAACACAACACCTCACTTGTGCTTTTTCAATTTTCCCACACATCACTAAGTCTTTTTAGCACTATGGAAACTACTGAACTCATTGAAGACAAGCAGTACTTTTCCTCTTGTATATAAAAAATACTTGACATATTTTTTTTTGGTTCAGAACATTCAATATTTTCTATTTCCAGTTGTTTCACAGCAGAGAATCTGGAAGTAAATATTCTTAAGAGACTAAATCAAACTTGTTTTCTAGATTTTGGAAAACCAGTGTTAGCCTAAGTTAATTTATATGTTGTTTTAACAATCTGCCTCAAGTCATACCAAACTTGATAATGGGTAGTACTTCTTTTCCCAAATTTTCAAACTTGTTTTTGTTGATGTGTAGCCGAATTTGAATACTCTACCCAAATTGAAAAGAAAGGCTGGGATTTGAAATAACTGAGAATGCTTAAGGAAAAATGGCATCCAATTCTCTGGAGGTGATTTTCTGCAAGCAAGGAATTGTTGCCCTATTATATTAAAATAAGGCATCTGTTGATGGCTGTATTAGTTGATATAGACAAATCTTCCCCATACAATATTTTTAATTTTTATTGAGTTGCTCTCATCATTCCAGAGTGCAAGATTTCTTTAAGACTGTGGACTCCAATCATGATGCTTTATAAGGCATATAGAGAGTTTGCTCCATTCATTAATCATATTTGCTGATGCATGTTGAGGATGCTCGAAGAATCTTTTATATGGTGTGCAGTTTGTCAATGTATGTAAGAGAGTCTTCATCACATGAAGGGACTCCATTAGTACTTCTTCCCTTTTTGTTGGTGTTAGTTTTCTTGATTTAGGATTAAGCAAAATAAAGTTTGTTTACCTGAGAATTATAGCTAGTTCACAAGAATGTAAGAATATATTCAATAGTAAATATAAAAATGTTTTTACTTGATCATATACTTACTAACAGATATACCACACTGATGTAAAAAAATTTACTAACCATTATAAATGTAATTAATAGGTGGTGAAAATCATTATTGAAACAATATTTCTTATATGGGGCTTGACTGTCTGTGCTGTGTTTCTTTGTGCTACACATCGCGCCATGTCAGTACTTCGTTCCATGCCATCTACAATGTTGGATAGGGATTTGGATCCTAATTACAAAGGTAAATTAACACAATAAGTGATATTTCTCAGAACTACAACATACTACCATTGATCCAAGTGTAAAGAATTGTATTTTTTTAATGTTTTAAATTTTATAATAGTGCAAAATTTAGGTAACCTAGTGGGTAGAGCACTGGGTTTCAATGCTGAGAAAACCTTTGTTTAACATTTCCCTTCTTGGTCTCCCCAACGTTAAAAATAAGTACTTGACTTGCTAAGGTGATGATATTGTTGCCCAACCTTGAGACAGATAATCAGCTATTCCTACCAGCGCCTGCCCCCTAGGCCCTTCTTAGGCTGTTACTGGGGTCATTTATTTAATAGCCTGAAGGTACTTTACAGCACCAATGTCAGAGTTTATAATTGTTTAGGCATAATGCAGTTATCGGCACTGGCACCATATAATAACTTAGCTGGATCAGTTGCATCTGCATTAATTCCAACATTGCTTGCACCAAAAATAGCAAGAGAAGCAGTAGGTATGTAAGCTGTATTTAGCTGTTTGGACTTCAAATATTTTTGATCCCCAGGTAACAGTATACCGTTTCAGAAGTAGCATCATCATCATCTTCATCATGCAAAAGTGAACCAATGAAAAGCAGCATTATGAAACATGCCAAGCAAAGTCCTAACAGCTCTGATGGTATGTTAATACAAGTTATATTTTGGTGTTAATCAATGTTACTGCTAATAGTTGACAGTCAACCAAATTTTTCTTACCTGTTTGGAATATTTCTTGTTTAGGAGAAGATTCAACAAGACTTTGTTCCTCAATTCAAAAAAACCGTGGAACAAAAAAATTAAGCTGGGGCACAGAGCAAAGATGTTCAGGACAAACCTTGATAAAGGTAATTAATCTTGCTTAAGTTTATGGTAATTATAATTAAGTTTATGCTTAAGGTAATTACTCTTTGGTGAGTAATGCCACCAAGAATCCATGTCATATTTTTTTTCGATAACCCTACTTCGCCATTTCTGATATATAGGGGGTGGCTAGCTCTAGAGGTATGTAGAACAAAACCTAATCTAACCAAAGTGAGAAGATCGAGATTCCTTCTATGGGGGCTAAAAATTAATTTGAATTCAACCAGACTGGATCTGAACTAGTGTCGATAGTCTTTTCAAAATGTTAAAACGGGCAATTCTTTGAAACGCTCGGTCATCAAGACCAAGGGGTTGACTATACCGTGGACACCTCACCGAAAAGTACACTCTGCAGACTTCAGACTAAGGTTATACACCATAAACACCCTAGGTAGGCTTCTACTCCCTGAATGGGGGAGCAAGTCAGGATGCTCTGAGGAGGCAGCCCCTCCAACTGACTCGATTTTTTCAATTTCAAAACTGATGTCGATTTCGTTAACCAATTTGATCTATTTTTATTGCACTTTAAACTTTTTGTTATACCATTCTTATAAATAGATAATCTTGTTAGCCTGGTTCATTTCCTGCCGACAAGATTTTAGCAATAAGACATCGATATTAGATTTATATATTGGTTTTGGTATTGGTTTATGATATTAAACTATGTTTAAAATAAACCTATTAAGTTATTTTAACCTTCAAATCAGTTAAGGAATACCATATACAAAATAATGATTGATCATTATCAATAAATAGAGTTTAATATTTTATTCAGATTCTCACTAGAATTTTTTTTTTATATTTTATAATTAATTATTTTACTATTTATCACTATAAAGTATTCAGAATGTACTATTTATCCTTTGGTTTTTAATTATTTCTGGGCTATTTTTATCTATATTTTTCATTTTTGAGGGTATGAATGATAAAAAATCTGGCATTGAAGAAGAGGCTGAAGAAGCAACAGCTAACACAAGTTTGCTTCCACAACAGGCCTGCAAGGTATGATTAAAGCAATGTACTGAATATAATATCATATATGATATTTATGATAATTAATTCATTTTATTTCTAAAAACTATGTTTTGAACAAGAGAGATACAGAGCTGACATTGGATGCTATACTGAACCATATAGCTTACATGAGTCGGGAACGGCCCTGCAATGGTGCTGGAAGTGGAAGAAGGCGGGCTGCAAGAGCTCTCTATGTTGCTGGCCTCTCGGGAGGTCTCGGTGGCAGTTTACTTGGCCTTCAGTTGGCTGCTCTTTACCTACCCGATGGTACATATAACTCCATTATATAGTATTACAGATTCGGTTAAATAGTCATATCTTCCTTTAAAATCGGTTTTGTTTGCTATTTTACTATATGTGATAGATGCTTTAGGATTTCTACTACCTTTTTATTGTAAACCTTATGATGATTCCTAATTGAATATGAATTGAATTAAAAATTTCTATTGATAAAAAAAAATATAAAAGTTTTTAATAAACTGTGAAATAAAGTATTATATGACAATATAATCCTAATCCTGTTATGGTACTAATCAATATAGTTATACATATTGATAATTTAAGTTAGCCAACTTCATTTTACTATGTGTCAGTATTTTATTAACTATAAATATTCCTTTAAAATTTAATCAAATACTTTTTCAGTATTTCAAAAGTGGGTAAAAATCATTTATATGAAATTATAGGTACTATCCGAAAGCTACAGCTTATTAATTTTGGTGAAAATGATTCATCAGTAGAAAAAAAAGGCTTTCTCCTTATTTAATTGCAATACATTTTAACTCCTCACAATCTTCTCACCAGAATCCTGACCGAAATTCCATTCAATTTCCCACGATGAGCACAAAGCCCCTAACTATCCTTTTATGGAATGCTAACGGACTAAATAACCACCGTGACGAACTTGACTTATTTCTTCATAATAATAACATTGACATTGCTTTACTGACTGAAACTCACTTCACTAAACGAATACATTTCTACATACGTGACTACTTCACTTATAGAACTGATCACCCAGATAATACCTCCCATGCCGGTTCTTGCATCCTTATACATAAATCATTACCCCATTCCCTTATTCCTTCAACTCCAACTGATGACATTCAATCAACTTCTGTAGTCCTTTCAACTCGCCCTTTCCATCTCACATTCTCAGCTGTATACTGTCCTCCTGGTAATTCCCTCTCCTATAACCTCCTTGATACCTTATTCCAATCCCTCGGATCGCGCTTTATTGCTGGAGGAGACTACAATGCTAAACACCAACGATGGGGTTGTCGAACATCCAACCCCCGCGGTAACATCCTATCACGTGTTTCAACTTCCAACAATTATTCAATCCTTTCGCCCATGAGTCCTACTTATTGGCCAACATCCCTCAAAAAACGTCCCGATATCCTAGATATATTTATAACTTCCCAGATCTCCTCCTCACAAACCATAATCAAATCCCTTGATGACCTTTCTTCAGACCATAGTCCAGTTCTACTTTCACTACATTCGAGCTATGCTCCTAAACCATCAACTCCTAAATTGATTACAGGACGAGTAAACTGGGACGAATTTCGTGATGATTTGGAAAACAAACTAGACTTAAAAATTCCGCTAAAGACAAAAGACGACATTAATGGTGCCATTGAAAAACTGACAGCGTCAATAACAGACAGTATAAATAATAATACTTTTATCAATAAGTTTAACAATTCACAAAAGACTGACTTGCCACAGCATATTCGTATCTTATTGAAGGAAAAACGCAGAGCAAGATCGAAGTGGCATAGAACCAGATATCCAACAGATAAAACTCATTATACCCAACTGACTAACAAACTAAAATCTGAAATTAAAAAATACAAAATTCAAAACTTACTAAATTTTACTGAAAAACTTACACCTACCGACAAATCACTATGGACAACCACTAAAAGGCTCCTGAAATTTAAAGACTGTAATCATCCGCTTCTTACTGAAGCTCAAACCTGGTCCAAATCCGATGAAGAAAAATCACAAATCTTTGCTCGTCACCTCTTTAAAACCTTTAATCCACACCCCGATATTCTTAACCCAAATCACCTTGAATGTATTGAAGCAGAACTGGATATCCCACTCCAAATGTCTCTTCCACCTAAAGCCTTTCATCCTTCAGAAATATCCGACATCATTCAAAGGTTACCTTCCCGAAAAGCTCCTGGACACGACCTAATTACATCCCAGATCCTAAAACTCCTTCCTCGGAAAGCCATTCTATTCCTTACTTATATATATAATGCTGTACTGCGATCAACATACTTTTCTGACCCTTGGAAATTCTCTATTATCAAAATGATACATAAACCCAAAAAGCCACCAGAAAATCCATCCTCTTATCGCCCTATCTCCCTTTTACCCATCCTAGGCAAAATCCTGGAAAAGCTCATCCTAAAACGCCTGTACCCCATCCTAGATTCTAATCACATTATCCCAGATCATCAATTTGGATTCCGCAGATCCCATTCCACTATCCAGCAATGCCATCGTGTGGTGGATGTTGTCTCCTCTGCATTGGAGCGCGGAATGTACTGCACGGGAGTCTTTCTCGATGTAGAACAGGCTTTTGATCGAGTCTGGCACCCAGGACTGCTTTACAAACTCCGTAAATTCTTACACCCTACATACTTCCTCATTATCCGTTCCTATCTTACTGATAGATCCTTCAAAGTAAATCATAATAATGCCTATTCATCCCTTTTTTCCCAGTCCGCTGGTGTTCCTCAAGGTAGTATCCTAGGTCCTATCCTTTACACAGTTTATACAGCTGATATCCCAACCCATCCTAACACAGTCATTACCACGTACGCTGATGATACATGTGTCCTATCAGTTAATAACGACCCAACAATTGCATCCCAAACCCTTCAATCACACATCACAAACCTTGAAGAATGGTGTCAAAACTGGAGAATAAAAATAAATTCCAATAAATCCCATCAAATCACCTTTACCCTTCGTTGTAAACCTATGTCCTCTTGTCCTACAGTATCCTTTAATAATACCCCACTTATTCCTGTTGAACAAATTCGATACCTTGGACTCCACTTAGACAAACGTCTAACTTGGAATCCTCATACCAGACTGAAACGACAAGAAACAGCTCGACGTTTCCGACTACTCCAGCACTTACTAGATAAACGCTCTAACCTCCCAGTCAATTACAAAAGACTCATATACATGACTACAATAAGACCTATTTGGACTTACGGAGTTGAGCTCTGGGGCTCCACTAAGCCATCGAATTCCTCTCGTATTCAATCCTTACAATCCAAAATCCTTCATAAAATCCTCACTGCTCCTTACTTTGTCACAAACAAAATCATCCATAACGACCTTAATGTTCCTTATGTTTCTGACTTGGCCCAATCCAGATACCTATCCTTCCATAACAAACTTCAGAACCATCCAAACCCTCTTGTTTCTAACCTTGCTTCCTCTTCGATCCCTGACAACCCTCAGAGGCGTCTGAAAAGAAGATGGCCTCGAGATCTCCTTTTGTAAATACATTTTTAGAGTGCTACCAATGGGTAGTTTCTCAACATGTGATGTCATGCTATTTTATTCCTTTGTTCACATTTACTGAATGTATTTTTACTTGTAATACAGTTGTAAATATCACCAATAAAAAAAAAAAAAAACTCCTCACAATAATCACATGATGTACACTTTTCATTTAAAATGGTCTTAGTTTGTCAGGAATAATAATATAAAAGAAATAAAACGGTGTAATATGGCCTTAAATTATGAAAATGTACATTTTTCATTACTTAAGTACTTATATTAATGAAACATTAAGTTAAGTAGTTGGTAAATATTCAATTTTGCATTTTTCTAGTGATATTTTAGGTTTTGTTTTTACTTGTTTTTTTTTTTAATTAATTGAGTAATTATATAAATGATAATTTTTCCCAAAACTGTGTTAGTACTACTACAGCTTAAAAGAATTTGATTATCAACCTGAAAACACAATGCTTCATTTCTCCCCCCGTGCTTCTCATTTTTTTTACCCCATAAGTAGAATATCATATTTTTTTTTTAAAAAGTTTCATATGGTAAAATATAGTTTACTGTTAGTATTCCTTGATGAAATTTCCATAGATGAACAATTTTAATTGAAAACCCACTTGACTTTATAAATTCAAAATTTATTATCAAGCATTTTATTTAATTAAATTCACAACTGTGATATGAATAATTAAATTTAGTATAAATAAAATAAATCAGTAGTAGTACAAAAAATAAATATTTTAAAACCTACACCTACTATTTAATCTGAAAAATTATATAATTTTTTAAAATATTTGTCAAGTATGTAATTATCTGAACAATTAAATAAATTCAATGATGATACATGAAAATCACATTATAAAAATAAATTTCGGCATTCTCAGGCCTAGATACGTAAAGGTAATGACTATCAGTGTACCATTTTCGCCAGTCCCATAGGAAACTGTTTATTTATTTCTTAGTGCGCCATGGTGAACAAGCCATAAGGGAAAGACATGCATAACCATCAGTTTACACTTGGATTATTTTTAACTCAGATGATAATTCACTCGCTGTAGGGCACTAGTGGATCCAGGATTTAATTTTGGGGGGCTTCAGCCCGAAACGTTTTTTTTTTCTTAAAAATAACGATAATTACTTTTAAATGTAATTACACGAACAATAATACTTTTAAGAGGTATTTTTAAATTTTTTTTTCCCATAAAACATGGTTATATTTTTCCATTTTGGGGAGGGCTTCAGCCCGAAAGCCCCCCCCCCCTACCTGTTTGTTATTATTATAATTATAATTATTTTGTTTGAGTAAATCATGAATTAAAAAAATAAAATAAAACTTGGAGAACGATTTTCTGTTTTGAATTATTCATAATACTAACCATCGAAGGTGATCTGTTGGTAGACTGCCGATAAATTTTTGGGTACTATGTCCTTCCCATGTTGGTGCCACATGAGTAACCATAATGCTACTATTTAACTCCTGTTGAGCTAAAAACAATTTTTCTTTTATGCAATTTGAATTACTTATTTTATTTTAGTTCATCAAGTATGAATATATTACCATGGTTTCTATTACAAGGAAATTTTTGTAAAAATATATTGTTCTGGGCTCAAAAGTAAATTTAAAACTTACATATAGGTATTAATTTAAAAAGTCTGTTACATTCTTTCTCACTTATGTGTTTCTTTTCACTTTCTTATTATCTTGATAATTTATCATCAAATATTTCTCTATATCTAAAGCGAAACTTGTAATATTATTATTATTATAGCTTCTTTATGATAATTTTTAAGTATCATTTGCTTTAATATAGTATTGTTTATTTAGGTTGGATTTATGATGGCGACAAGAGATGGCTTTGTTATGAGACGCTATGTAGAAGTTTGGAGATTTCTGCAGCTTGGGGAGTGGCTAATTTGACTAAGCAACCAGTCAGTGAAAGGGTTAAATCTCCATCAAGACATGGTATTTTTATGTAAACCATTTTAATTTTATGTTATAAAATGATGGCCTATGAATTTTCTTAAAAAATATATATAATTAAATAAAAAAATTAATATTCTATTTTTATAAGTTTTCTGGCCAAACTTTCATTATAGTGTTAATTTTAAGGTTGGAAACAAGGTAATTGCCACTACTCAAATTTTCTAAAAACATCTTTCTTAGGTTACTTCATTGAAACATAATCATTAGGAGGTATATTTTTAATTATTTGAAAAACAAAATATAGTCGACTTTTTGGTGTTCACTGTTTCCATCCTTCAATTCTGTGAGCTAACAAAAAACAATTCATATTTTTAAGAACAGTACAATTTAAAAATATGATTTGAACTTATAAATATGTTAAATTTTTTATGGAATGTTGTTAAGTTTCATTAATATATATAATCAAAACTATTCTAAAAAATATATTTTCGAATTCCACTAGTCAGATATTTTTAAATTACTATTTATAGAGATAATGTATTCATAAATTAATTTCTGAATGTAAGAAAAAGACATGTACCCTCAGTGCCTCATTTTAGTGAATGACGTCAACAAGTATCATGTCCACGAATATAAATTTTAATATTTCAAGGACTAATAAGGAATATTCAAATAAATGAAAACAATGTAACATTTTTGTATTTAAATATATTTGTAATAGTGATCCTGTCGTCACCAGCAGCTGGTATAACTCCCTCCACCTAATTCCATCAAAACTTAAATCCACATCAAGCATAATATAATCCCCCCACATATGTCTCTGTCTATTCCTTCTGTTGTCTTATCTATACATTGGATATTTCCATGTCGGTTCAATGATGATAACCTTTTCATTGATTTTCTGCAACAGCTTTAAATGTCTCTAAAAGTGCAATGCCACTTTTGTATTTCAACATCTAATTTTAGTTTGAAATGGCAATTATCTGATATAGATTTACGTTAACTATTAAAAATGGTTTGAATAATATGAAATTAGAGGAAAATGATAAAACAGATCCCAGGGGTTATGTCCTTTCTTAAAATTAAATAAAAAAAATTGGAGTGTTAATGAATTTTTAATTTCAAAGTATTCTTAATGCAATACTTGAATATACCCTAATTTATCCTTGAAAATATATATTAGGGCCTATTATGAACCATAATTATTCTTAACCCGGTTCAGAATTTTGATATTTAAAGTATATTTTTAAAATAGTTTCAAAAACTCCTCAGTAGAGTACTGATTATGATGGCTTGAATGTAATTTGTATGATTCGTGTTTTTATCTCTTTATTATGAATTTATTTTAAGGAATAGAACAAAAATTAAATGGTATATATTTTACATAGTTTTTTTTTAAATAAAAAAAATTGTTCAGCAACAAACTTAATCCAAAACTCTATAATTAGTATTTATCAGTAATTAGTATATTACCCTGTCAATGAAAAAAAACTGAAAGAATCATACAGGTATTAGAAAATTGTTAGCAAGTGCCTAGATCGGCCTACTACTTTTGATAACAAATCAAAAACTAATAAAAATTATTTGATAAAAGAGTTTAAAATAGTTAAATTTGTGTAGTTAATTGTTTTTATCTACTCAATATAGGAATTCCAATCATGAGAATAAATAATTATGAGCAAGTAAATATTTTCCTCAAGAGACTTAACTACAAATAAAAAAATCAGCGAAACTTTAGAATACATAATCTTTTTATTTAGTCTCATGGTTAGGATCCTGCTTTTAACATTTCATTTACTGTAAGGCAACAGTGTCAGTAGTGTAAATGTTGTAATGTTTGTAGGTGTTTATATTGTTAATGAAATTTCAAAACCCCCATCTGAGTGTGATTCTAGATATTTCCTATGTATGTGATTTTTATAACTTCATCATTATCTAGTTTTTGTAGTAATTAAGAATTATTTCAGCTTAAAATATTTTGAAAGTAATAAGAGTAAAATGATCTGTAAAAGAGTCGAAATGACAATACAATCAATGTTGTGATTATATGTTACCACTGCGTGCAATAAGTAACGTATCATTCATATGGTTTGATGTTAAAAAGATAATCAAACATTAATTAGAGTTAAATTATTTTATTAATGGAATACAGTGAACACCATTTAAAAAAAACCCATGGGTAAGTAATGAAACATTATCATTTGTTTCATTATGCAATCATTTACTTATCTTCACATCAACTAATGAGTTATAATTATTTGAGTAAAGGATTGAGGTCACATAAATAATAAGAGTACCACCATTTTATCTTAAAGGTGCTGGAACAGGCAAATATCAATAAATTCGTAATTAATTTTGCAGATAAACTTTCTGTAACTTTACTTACGGTGTCCTTTTAATTCCTTGAGAATGGAATCTGCTTTCCCTGTTATTTACCTAAGGGTCTTGACTAAATTGGCTGGGAAAAATTCTGGATCTTAAAAATATTTGTTGAAACAACTATTGAAAGAAATGAACGGTTTAAAAAAAAAGTATATATATATATCTTCATCTAAAATCTATGGGTTATGAAATTTTAAAACATCTCTCCTGACCTCCACCACTAGCTTTTCATTTCATGTCACCACATTTTTTCCTAAACAAAGGAATGAAGAAAAAAGAGCTGAGTTCTTAGCTTTGAGAGAATTATTCTTGTTTTATCTTTGTAAAGAGAGTAGTTTTGTCCATCTTTATGTCGTTTAACTTTAAGAAGTAGGTATTGATGACTAACCACAGATACAAGAGTTTAATTACTGGGATTACTGAGGGTTTATAAAGAGAGGACTAAATGTTACCTTGTGTCAAATAATTTGAATTCAAGAAGACAATAGATTGAATTCTGATCAATGTTTGTATTTTTAAATTACAGTAAAATCTCATTGTAAATACAATAAAGAACTCTATACAATTGCATTATAATAGCACACATATTGGTTCTAAATTAAACTGTGTCTAATGGTTTTATCAATTAGTTGTGGATTGAAAGTTAGGCACACAGAAGAAAATAAGTCGTTCGTACTAGGTATAGTAGAGAAAAGCGTTTGATTTTAGTCAAGCGGGCATAACAACAATTCTCACCTCCCTAGTTTCATGTCTGCAAATGGGTTGGCAAGTTATCATCTCATAACTTTATAACATTAATATGCCCCAATTTGAACATTTGGATTGTTTTCAAAATGTCAAGTCCTTAATTGATCAGGCATGTTGAGAATATACTATTGTATTGCAAATATATCATACATACCAGGAGATCCTGGAAGTAACTGAGATTATAGAATGATCCTAAACTGGAGAGATAACAATAGCATAAGAATCACAGCACCAAAGAAGCTGAGCTTGTTGAGTGTGATGTGTACTAAATAAATTTTGACGCTATAGGGTGACAAAATCATCCTATTTTTGATTAGAACCTGTGAAGTCTCAAATAAGCTACGCACAACACTTGAAATGGACCTACAAAGAGATGATTATGCTTCTCACCCATGATGATAGGTATCCTATTAGCAGGTGTATTATTATTTACCATAAAATAGCCTATCATTTACCTAGGTTGTAACCAACAACCATATTAATACCACATCGTTGATGAAACTTGGGTGACTCATGTACGGACTGCCTTAATTATGGTATTGCTTTAAGACCGAAATAAATGATATTCACTGTATAGACAAAAAAAAAGTATATATATATAAAATAATGAATGTTATTTAATTTTTAAATGTCAACTTTAAATATCTTATTAAGACTCAATAATTAAAAACAAGATTAATAATCACTTCATTTCTACATAATTGTGATGAAACTTATTGTATATTATCCCTCAAGACTGTAGTTATGTTTTTTTTTTAATAAGTATTTTTTGATAACTATTAGTGAATGTGCGGACAAAAAAGGTCTTAGATTTCTTATTAACTTGGCTGTGTGTCAATAATTGTTCATAAAAGTGTTTTATAAATTGTTATGAATATTACATGTTAAAATAATATTTTGAAGATTCGAAAGATGAACTTGAGACAATTTGTTGATTGTTTATTAATGTAAATGCATCAAAGGTAAGATTTTATATATAAATATGAAACTTCCATTGTATAAATATTACTTATAGTTTAAGTACAATCAAAAAAACATATTTTTACCACTTTTTATCATTACTTATTTCACTTAATAAATGTACTTTAAAACTGAATGTTGTATTTTTAGATTCACTAAGTGTAAGTTACCTAATAACAACCTTAAAATATGTAAGAAAAAAAAGTAATGATAATAAAGTTGAAGTAATAATCCTGAGATTACTTTGTATTTTAATTCCACCTTTTAAAATTTTTAGAAAAAAATAATTAAATATGAAAACTTTTTTTGTCTTGAATGTAATGCTGATATATAGTAAGTATATAACATAAATTACAAATGTTTCAGTTGTCATCATTGATTTTTATGGCCTCAATTAGAGTAATGTTTAATTAAATAGGAGCAGAGAAATTTATGTTATAACTGGGCTAATTCTCTTTGGCAAGAATGCTAACCATACTTCCAAAATGAACTAGCAAAAATTATCACGAGTCATAAATTTCTTCTTGCACTTAAGCCTGTTTGGATTGACAATTCATGCAATTAATACAAATTGGATGTACTTCCTAAAATAATACTGAACCCAAGACCCTTCATGGGTTGAAATGGTATAGGTTTTTTTGAACAAACAAAACAAATTAGGGTAATAAAATATATATAAATTATTTTTAAAAGTCTAGTTTGATGATTTATAATGATTTTGAAAATAATTGTAAGAAAATTGGTCTTATCAACTGATAATGCAACTCCAGCAGAATGACAATCAAAATTTGAATATTTTAGAAAGATGTGCTCCTCTCCTGTGCTTACTTCTGCTCTATTGAACAGTTCATAATTGCTTTCAGTTTGGAATAGAATACCATATATATAGGAAAGAGGTCTAATACATTGTTTTATTATTAGTCACTAAGCCCAGTTTAGAACTAAAGAAGGAAACAATCAAAAGTTGAAATTCTATTAATACATTTTTCTTTAAGTGTAGGTTTATTTTATAAATTTTATTTTACCACAATTTATTTAAAAACATTTTATAATTAAATGTACTTAGTAATTATACTTAGTATATGTTTTCAAATTTCCTTTTTTTTTTAACCATTAATTATTTAAAGAAATTGGTTTTGTTTAAAATAATTTTGTAGAAATTAAATTACAAAACAAATAAACATTTTAAAGAAAAAAGTAGGTCATTAATATACTTCACACATTGTATAAAAATCTTTATTGAAAAATATAAGTATCCAATAACTGAAAACATTCAATAAGAAAAAATATTAAATATTTAATTATTATAATAACTAAATTAAGGGTACATTAAAATACAAAATCTTAGTCTATACGTATATATATATAAGTAATAATAGTCTAGACGGTGAGTGCAGTTGAGTGTGCAAAAATGGTACACTACGGTTTCTCTTATCATTCTTGTCTGAGACACCCTACTTACTAAGAAACTCCATGTTGCCAGCACAGATTATGGAAAGTTAAGGCTGGAGGGGAGTAGGTGCCCCGAAGTGACAGTCCTCTATAATTTGAACATGGATCATCATAGAAACTTGAATTTGGTCTCGTATTGTTGGTATTTCTGAGATGAGAAATTTTTATTATTTCATATTTTTTTATATAAAGTAAGTGGAGTGATAAAATAGCGAACATAGTTCTGCAGCGTGTCTTACAAAAGTTTGCACTCTCATTTATTTTATAATACCATACTAGTATCATCGCATGATTTAGCATAAACAATTATCTATCAATCATGTGCCACATATTGTAATTGGCAAAGTTAAAAAAAATTGCTTTTTATACACTTTACGCTAGTTAAGCACATGCTAGATGCAACAGTATGATGCAAATAAGATGCCAATCGTTCAGGAACTTTGATATAGCATTTGGATATGGAAAAAAGTTAGGGATTCTATTTCGAAAAAATAAGTCAATTACGATTATGCAAAATTATCAAATTTAAAATTGACATAAAAAATTAAGGACAGTTCTATTCAATTGTTTTGCTTTATATTATAAAATAAGGAAAATAAGAGGGACATAAACTTAGAAACTCAGTGAGAACTCAATTCTCGATTTTCCCACTCTGCTCACTTAATATATAAAAAATTGAAAAATCACTTATCACCATCTTAATATACTTGACTCTACATCAATTGTTAATTTTATATTTTTTACAAGGCTTCATTAATACAAAAGAACATTGATCAGGGGTGGTAATAAATATCACCACCATGTTCATACCAAAATCAAACTGCTATGCTCCTGCCAAACCCACTGTTGCCATATCATAGATAACTTGCCGAATACAGTATCCTTCATAATCGTTTTATTAATCATAAAAATATTTTAAAAAGTTTGTACAGGGAAAAACACACTGAAACATTGTAAAACAGCCATGGTTCAATGTCCAGAGTCTATTCAGAGACAGCTGTACTGAGCATTCAAGTTTTACTTGAACGAAGTAAAAGATCAAAAATAAAGGAGCCTTGTTATTCTCTTTAATTGACAAAAAAATTATGATTATATTTAAATTGTATATTTAATTGAGGACTCGGATACATATGCTGTTTTGGTAGAATATAATTGTGCAGAGTCCAGTCAGTCGCCTCCAGAAACTAAGGAAGCCAATTGACAATTTGGCAACGGACCTTAAAAACCTTTAGTTTGCCCTGTGAACTAGATTAATCTATCTAATTGACAGATTTTTTTAATTTTCCTAGATTAAAATTTTCAGAAACCGAAACTCTTCAACTTCAACTGAAAGGATCAACTTTATTATGGGACAAAGTCCTTTAAGAATAACAATATTGATCATAAAAATTAACATTACATCTGGCCCAAAATATATACTATAATAAAAGAATAACTAAAACATAAGTAATAAGAGAAATATTTACAGAGCTATACAGATACACTAAAGAAAAAAGATGAGTAATAAGATCACAATACCGCAAAATAATTGCTACAAACAATAAAGTATGAAATAATTAAATGAAATAGGAATAGAACTTTTTATATGATAATAAAAAAAAGGAAATCAATTTTTTTATGAAGTTTTTATCTAAGTTTCGCGATTACTAATTCATAATCTGACCCACTTTACCGATTACCGGAAAATAATTTTTATCAACATGATTTTAAACCAATGCCTTTGGAACATGGCCGCCAAAATCCTATCATTAAGAATTGTTTGTCCCTCCATCAAAGGACAAAACAATCTATTTATAATTATAAACCCTGTGCCTGAACAATGATTTATGCTCTCTTTATACCAAATTTAAACGGAATAAAATGCTCATTTTTCCATAAAATTTTCAAAATTATTCCTATTTACCCTCCCTAACCAAGTGGGTCCTACAATGTTTTAATACCGCCTTGATGACCTCATTGTTTAGATCTACCATTTATCTAATTTCATAATCGGTAATCAAATCAAGAAAAATCAAAAAGTAGAGCCCTGAGAAAACATAGAAAATAGCATGAACTAAATATAAGTTCTTAGAAAAATAACCATGGGAGTGAAATAGGATTGTAAATAAGATACTAGCCATTAGAACAAACATTAACTGTAGATAACATTAAAACTGAAGATAGGTGTAAATTAGTTTATTTTCACCTTGACTGAAACTTGCAGCAGTTTTCTAAATATGAAAAATTAAAATATAAACCTCAGCACAGATTTGGTGAAATTTTCCTTAAACACGGAGGGACATAAAAGACAGAGGATTAGTTAATTTTTTTGTGCTAGAAACTTATCCGTCATTCTTCATAAAATTTATTTGTTCCTATTAACAGAGCAAAGATAATAGTTGCAGAAGTTGTGGAATTTTATGAAACTGATACTATATAATTTGTAGAATATTCTCTAAACGTTATCCAACTTTGATCCAAATCAAAAAAACAATTTTGAATGCATTGTATGCATCTGCAAGAGAATGTATTTTTGAGTGTAGATGATGGACATCAATAAAATTGATACAGCATTATGTTAGCACTAATTTCTAATGTTGAAACAAATCAAATAAGCTGTTTTTGCATCTAAGAAAATTAATGTAAGTGTGCATAAACAAAAGCAACAGGTGGACTTTGAGGAAATTGATAAGGAACTATCTAGGTACCTGCAAGTTCATTGTGCACCTGACCTAATGATGAGAATATGTCTAAGCTAAGTTTAAAAGAAAATTGATGTTAATTATAGTAGCTTCAGATAATATGGAAAAAGGTGGAGGTTAAGTTGCTATAGAAGTGCTTACTTGATGGTGTACAACAGGCTTCTGAGGGATTAAGAGCAATTTCATGCCAGAAAAAATTAATTAACACATGATTTTGGCTTATAGAAAGGCAGCTTTGTAAAATACTGTAACCAAATTTAGCAAAAAAATAAATTAAACTGAATTTATACTTACCATCATGATTTTCTCTCTTCCTTATAACAGAACAGAACAGTAAGTTGATAAATAAATAGTTTAATGTCTCATTTCCATATTATTGAGTCAATTAATAAAATATCCAAATTTGTTCAAACAAGTTGGAACTTATTTACATACGAAACACATTCTGAAAAATGGATTAATAAAAATAAAATTTGTAAAACATACATTGATGTGACAAGAATGACGATTCCACGACTGTTATACTTTTTTTTTACATTTGTAGTTTGATCAGGAGCCAAGAGAAAAATCTTTTAGTAAACTAAAGATAACGAACCAACTTATAGAGCCCTCAATTCTCAGTTATATATGTTTCCTCAACTGTTGATAATAATGAAAAAGTGGGCAGGGTGGCCGAATGGGCTAACGTGTGTGCACAGCACTACTGTTGCCAGGCAACCTGATATATTACAAATGATATAAAAATAGTCACGAGTTCGCATCCCGGTGACGAGGGGTCTTTTAAACCTCCGCCCACAGCCCCTGGTCCGGGAAAACCCCATATAGCCTTAACGGTGAGGACTCAAAAAAAAAAAAACATTGCTGATAATATATCTTTTCTAAGAATCTTGAGATTCAGTCAATAAAAGAGCCTTTCAGTTCACAGAATGGCTAACTATGATTGCAACATTTCTATTATTAATTTTAGTGATATTTCTAGTGGAAAAATTTATACCTTTATTCACAGTTCTATATTTCAACATTGCAATCACCTACTATGGGGAATCAACTTACTGTCGGTACAGATATTATTAATTAATTTTCCAACTAGAAATACCCCTAAAATGACTTTATTCAAAAGTATTAAAATTGGAGTAAGTCATTCTGTCAACTGAAAGGCTCAAATGTAGCTACAATTATATTTTGAGACTCTATTATTCACAGTGAGGATAAGATCTAACTAATATTAATAAAAACCATTCAATTTCACATTGATATAACCAGTTAAAACAAAGTTGTTAGCTATTTATTAAAACTTCGTAAAATCGCCCATGAAAAAAAAAAAACTGCTCAAAGAAGTGATATCCCCCCCCCCAAAAAAAGAAACAAGTTTTTTGTAAAAATTATAACTCACCCAATAGCGGCTTCCATTCCTTCCAAGCTGAGGAGAAAGAATCAAGGGGTGCCTTTCTCGGGTTGGAATCATTAATGGTTGCCATTTCTCTGATGAATATCTTTTCTACTAAAGTGAAGAGCATAGCTTTTATATATCACTTGTTTTTAAGACTGCACCATTTTTTTTTTTTTTTTTTCCTGAGGAAGTACTTTTACAATGGAGTTGTTTATAACTAGATTCCATTATACTTGATCTTCATTATTCATTACATATCATAGCTATTTAGTTTGTTATATATATCCTTTTTCCAGCAATACACTTTGTTTTTCACTTCATAATACTAGAATATAGATAATAAGGCTCTTAGTGTATTGCTTTAAGCACTGAAAAACAGACCAACACATACTTTCTTCATCCCTGACAATAACTCAATTAGAAGTTACAATAACTTCATCCACATACTCCATCAACTTTCTTATTAACTTAATCAATCGAGTATTGGTTATGCGACATAAAATCTGGGTTTCCTAAATAATCACTAACCAGTAAAGTGACAGTACCCATGTTTGTTGGTGGAACTGAAAGCCTCGTCATTGCAGATTCGATTTCCGCTCCAGCTACAAGAGAATGGTAAGCTGCAGATAGGCCACTCTTCTTATTATTGCAAGAGTACAATAATTGACCTGCAACATGAATGGAAATTAACTAAATCAATAAATTTATTACATTAAAAAAGACAACCAAAATAGGTCAGTAAAATTAAATTATGCTTATAAAAAATAAATCTGGTATGTCAGATTGTCTCGTATTATTTCCTAATTGTTTACAAAACAATTAAATCATTAAAATATGATCTTCTCTTATTTAAATTTCAAACTTAATAGTTGTTCAACCTTATGAAATAAATAAATCAAACCCAAGGTTAACTTTCAAATGGTACAGTAGATGAAATATTTGGTACGGTTGGGTCCGTTTTTATTTTTGTGGGACAGGCCCCTTTTTTGTGGAAGTAAGTTTACAATAAGTATTTTTGTTATATAATAACAATATTAATCCAGTAAATTTCAATTGTAGCCAGTAAAGTGAACAATCAACCTATTAAGTGATTCTTTAAGTAGAGAATGTCACATTGGTTTTTCTTCCAACTTCAAAATTCTCTTTGCTAGGAAGAGTAGTTTGGTATTTTCCAAATTAGAAAAAATTTTTGGAGAAATTTAAAAAAAAGTGCTGATAGGTTAATATTTCACAAAAAAAAATCTCAACACACATTTCACTAAAAGAAGAAAATTTCTCTAGTATTTATAAATAATGTACGTATTAGGTCTAACATGTAATTAATATTTAACCTAGTTTTAGCAGTTAGTAAAACCTAGTTTCTGAGCAAGAAAAAAATAAATTGGGGCATTGCTACAACTGAGTTTTGAAAGTTATATTTTTGAATTATTTTGAATATCAGTACAATTTTTATCTCTTTTATTGGCTATAAAAAATATAAAATAATATCATTCTTTTTTTATGCATCGTGCATTCCCTTTGGGGTCCAGGAAAGTGAGTAATCACATGAGAAGAAGGGATTCACAAAAATCTTGAATAAAACGAGTGATTAGCCCAAATTGTTTCCTCGTTTTTCTCTAATTCAAAAAACACTTTCAGCTGCTACTTTTTCATCTCTTTCATACTCTTCATTACAATCATAAGCAGTAAGTACAATCAGTTCAGCTTTAGTAATTTATATCTTATATAATTGTATAATTATAGTTTATAACTAAAATATGAACAGTGAAGACTTAGATGACTGGAGGGAACTTTACCTTAAAACTTATTTTAAAATTCTATATTTTTTCTCTAAAATATTTCTGATATAAAAATTTGAGCTGATAATGATTGCATTATTTAACAAATAGGTTCCTGAACGCATCTTTGTCATATTCTATATGTCTTCCTGAATATTTATTTTTTAAAAATAACAGCAACACAGTGAAAATTGCCCAAGTTATGAATAACACAATTAAAATATTTCAATATTTTTTTCTTAAACTGAGTCCACGAAAAAAAATTTTTTCCATTGTATTGGTAGTTAAATTACAAAAAATTATATTCTGGATCCTGTTAGTCCATTTAGGGCTAAAAACATATATAATAACATAAATATTTTGTTGAATAATCACTAGATATATGAAATAGTTTTAGAAAAAAAACATATACATTCCAGTTTCATTATGGCTTTCAAAGGAATGAAATAACCCAGTACTTACAATTTATTCCTTCCCCTTACGTACAATATAATGACCAATATCCTGTTAAACTGGATATATCTGTATTATGAAAATATGATAGGTGACGACCAATCAGAGTTCAGAAGAGAAAGGATTATGCCAGACCAGATCTTCATCCTAAAACAGATGCTCGAAAAACTATGGGGAAAAGCTTAGGATGTACACTGCATGCCTAATTGTTTTATTTCAAAGCAGACTAAGATTTCATACACAGAAACTGTCTTAGGAAAATCATGACGGAGCTGAGAGTTCCGGAGATTGACAAAGATGGGTAAAAATGCCAACATCATCCCAATTTATAAAAAAGGTAGCCAAAGCGAGTACAATAATTATAAACCCACATGCTTGTCACAAGTGGTGCATAAGGTATACTCATCTATCCCGGAGAGGAGACTCAGAGCTATAGCAGAGGAGGACCTTGAGGCAGAGCAGACCGCCTTCACACCCCCAAGATCAGATATTCTCTTTAAGGACTATTATAGAGAAGTCCTGGGATCGGAGAAAAAATGTTTATCTAGCTTTTTTAGACTTCCAACCTGCTTTTGACTCTTATGCCATGAATTGAAATATGGAAGGCACACCTTCGATATGAAGAGGGGCGTCAAACAAGCAGACAATCCTTAGATTAAATAGTGAAAATTGGCAATTATAGAGGGGCTTACCCTCTCCTCTAACGAAGGACGGCACAATCAGTTGTTGGATTTTGGAACCTGAGGACAGTTCTTCCACAGACACTTCTCTATGCAGATGACATAGTTCTCACAACAGACTCTGCCCTGAATCTTCAACAGGCTGTTGTGGAATGGGAGGCGGAGCTAGAGAGAGAGGGCATGACAATAAATCCACACAAAAGTAAGATCATGTAAATCGGACATGTAGTTGACAATGTGCGGACTACTTGCAGAGGAGAAACTCTAGAAATTGTAGAAGACTTTAGATACCTAGGAGCAGTTATCAACAGTAATGAAAGAATAGATATTCAGCAGGATCCAAAAGGCAAACAACGCACACTACCAAATATACAACACTGTTGTTGGAAAACAGGAAATAGAGAAAAAGGTGAAACTACACATTTTTAACACGATCTACCTCCCCACACTCCTATATGGAAGTAAGAACTGGGTTCATCTCAAGTAACATTTAAGCAGAGTCACTGCAGTGGAGATGAAGTATCTTAGAAAAGTAGCCGGATGAACTCAGAGAGATCTTATTTGAAATGAGAGAATAACAGAAGAGCTAGGGATGAAACCCTTAGTTCAGACCATAGAGAAGAAGCAACTAAAGTGGTTCAGTCATATATGCTGAATGAACAAAGATCGCGAACCATGCAAGTTCCTGGAAGCAAAACCAACTAGTAATATACTAAGAAGCAGGCCAAGGATGGCATGGATGGATCGTATGGTCCGGTCGGGATTGGATTCCATGAAGACGCTGGCAGAGGACCGGGAAAGTTGGCATGCTTGAGTCAAGGCACCTCCATGCTGAGAGGCACAAAGGAGGAAGGAAAAGAAGAAGAGTAAAAATGATGTTAAATGTTGAGTCCTCATACAAGGAGAAGTATCCGAAGCCTTGAAAGTTTGAGCTTCTTTGCTACAAGAATACCTAATCTCAGAAATATTGTTTAATTTGACACTTGAGAAAGCAATAAGAACATCATGCAAAAATTGAGGTGCGTATGCCCGCATTCCACAATAACCTCAATGAATGTTCAATTCAGAAATAGAGCAGCATATAAAAAGTGGAAACAGAGCTTTCTTCTCATTTTCAAAGGTTTTGAATCCCAAAAAATATCTGGAAATATCAAATTAAGGGTGTAAAATGGTATAATAAAGCTAGCTCTGATATACTAGTGTTAGACTTGGACACTAACCAGCACCTCAGAAAAAAGGATTGAAAGATTTGAGAGGAACATGGAATTTACAGGATAACTGGAGCAATCCGGGATCAGAGTACTAACTCATGAAGGAGGACCAATAAAGAACTGCTTAGAGAAACTGGTCAATCAGTATTTCGTGATATGAAGACAAAAAGGTTAAGATGGGCTAGATGGGACATGATTGATCGAATAAACTAAGATATTACAAGGCTGAATGCAGAAAACTATAAAGTAATAGCACAAGATAGTCAACAGAAACAATTAAGAAATATTATTATTTCATTGGTTTTGGTAAAGTTTTAAAGAGGAAGATATACAAAAAAACACATAGATTTATATAATATTTAAGCACATTTACAAAGTGGTTACCATCTCGAAATAAAGAACTCGACTTACACGTTATTCCCAACCCTTGAACAATCGTGGTCACCAAGACTACCACTCACAATATGAAGATAAGGCTTATAAATCGTTTATGAACCTACAAGAGCTAAAGCCAGTATGAATCAGGAGGAGGTGGCCATATTCAAGTGGTCAAATGTCCTTTAAAAGAGGATAAAGAAAGTGTGACAATCAAATCTCAAAATGATTTTTATTATGTGAAATTGGAAGACATTTTCCTATATTTTTTAAAAATAAAAATGATATAAACCGGGATTTTACCAAATCAGTTACAGCATTTTTATAACACCAAATGGATAGGATATTTTAGTTTTATTATTAAATTCCTTAGATGTAACATAGTACCTAGTATGAATAATAAGGTTAGTCATTATAGCATTTAAAGATCAATTTTAGAAATTTTCAAATCAAAGTTAAAATTTTTTACACGTTAAAATCGAAATGGGTAATTTTGATTTAGACACTAAAATTTTCATTTTTTCATTCATCTGTTCATCCAATCCATAATATAAAATCCATTTCATTTGATGTTATAAACATTTTTAAATTGATTCGGGAAAATCTTAATTTGGTTTACAAAGTTCTAAATTTGATTTGGAACAATCCCAATTTGTTTTGGAAAATTCTAAATTCGACTTGGAAATGCTATATCATTTTTCTGATGGAATAAAGTGAAATATGACCGCAATCAATTTCTTATTAAGACGATATGTTTGACATAGAAAATTTGTATGATGTTAAAAGAAATCAACTTCATCTTTTCAATTTTCAGAAATTTGACTAGAATTTCATATCAACATACAGTATAAAGCTTCAAATTCACCAAAAGTATCTATAAAGAACAATCCTTAGGAATCTTACTTCCTCACTGACATAGTTTAACTATTTGTAGTTCTTCCTAGACCTCATCCCAATAAAATTCTTTAAATTTATCAGAACCTTACGTATCATCCAAATCCCCTTGCACAATCAATCCCTATATCATAGCACCACCCATCTCTAAAATCCTCCTCAAAAGTTATAACGGCAGTGGCCCCATGACCTTTTGCGATAAGTATATATTGGAGTTATTGCCATATGGGCAGATTCTATACTTAAGACATGAGCATAAGTGACTTTAGTAACAGTG